AAGTAGCAGTAAGTATTTGGAATATAGTATAAAATATCGCTACTACCCGAAGCTATAAAACAATCTGTAACTTTAAAGTTGGTGAATCACTGTCAGGACATGCCTTAGAAAACCCATCAGTAGACCTAAGCTGACAAAATAAAAATAAATTAATTATTTGAAATCATGGTTTAAATGAGTACATTGTCTGAGGAAACCAGTGAACTCCTCCAATTTAGTCCAGTTTCCTTTTAGTGCAATTCAGATTCCTTCCAAAACGCATAACTGACTTAGCAGCATGTGGCAAATATTAGGCTTATTTCTAGATTAAGCAAATGTGTGGCAGTTTTTCCAGCTCTCTATGAGAAAAAACAAATTAAGTTAAAGTATTACACCCAGAGATGGATATATGTTCCCAAGATATTTTGACAATGCCAACAATTGGCAATTCAGAAAAAACACGATGCTTACGTGTTCTATACCAAAACATTAAAATCTTATAAACCATTTAGCAAAAGAGCACTTTCTTTGAACTACAGAAATATTTTGCCGTGTTTATTTCCTGTTACCTGGTAGTGAAAGTATTTTCTGGTGAGGTTGTCATGTATTCATAAACAGAAAATAAAAGATGGGAAAAACATTATTTAGCTATACATCATTTTTGAAATGGTATAAGATAAATTCACATTTGATTGTCATTAGAGATACTATAAAGTATTGAAGTTAATGGTATATCAAGATCTCAAGCAGGAATGGAAAAAGCAAGTAGAGATTCCAAAGAGACCAAGGAACCCTGGTGAAGCATATGATAAGCTCTGGTCACTTGAGGAAGTCATCATATCTAGTGCAGAATGAAGAAGGGCTAAACAATGGGTTATCTGAAGAATTACTTAAGGTAGGAGAGCAAGAGAGCAGAGATTTTACTATCATTTTTACATTGCATATCTGTAATGGAGGTCATGCAATGGGTGTTTAATTAAAAGAGTAGATTGAGCACTTTATTCCACCTTAATCCACAAAAAAAAAAGTTATTAGTCCAAACTACAAGTCATGTTAACAGTGTGTCTACAAGTCATGGTACCTGTCCCTCGCGGCACTATGTACTTTCTGATTTCTGATGCACACACATTTATCCCTAACTTCCTGGTGTCCTTATTATGACATCATATATAATGTGAACCCCTCCCATTGGTCTCCTTTTATAGTGTCAGCCCGTGTGTCGCTTTTTGATGATGTGTACAGGCTTGTGACATCATGGTCCTCTGTGACCAATCACTACCCAGTATAGAGTATATATGCTTCCTGGTTGTCCTTGTTTCCTTGCTCTGTCGTGGTTCTTGTTACCTGAGAGTGTGTGTATACAATGTATTGGATTTCCTGTTCTCTGACCGTGGCTTGCTTGACTATTCTTGCTCTCTGTTATCCCGATCTTGGCCTGGCCACCAATTCCGTGTATTTCTGTAATCCTGATCTCTGCTTGTTTCTCGTTTATTCTCTGTCTGCTTGCAGACATTTCATATATCTGTCTCAGGCACTAACCCGGCCACTCTAAGGACCAGTACGTGTACCTTTACTGTTACCTTAAGGTTTGTGTGTTAGGGTAACTCTATTCCTGACACAGTACTACAAAATCATAGAGTAGCAAATTGGTGGGTCCCATGCCATACTTAAGTCTCCGAGGCCCTAGATGACCACACAGACCTACTAATTGTTTGTACAGTGCTAAATATGGAAAGTGGAACTTCTGGGGGAGCAACCATGGATTTTCTGCTACGTATTTTTATTGCAGCTGCTTATAAATATATGAAATGTGCAGAATTACTAAGCTTACGACTTATACAATGTTAGTAATCTTCTTCTCTACATGATAAAAATTTGAATATAAAACAAAGGTAAGTGAAAGCTGGATGACAACATTTTGTAATAAAATAATAGAGAAGAGAAGATGTTGATTTTAATAATGCACACCCTGCTGGATCATGAAAAGGTGTTTAGATTAGTCCACATTTTAAGGGAAGATATGACTTATCAAAAAGAGAAGCCTAATACCTAAACAATAGAGGGAACCCATAGCCAAAGAAAAGGGATAAGTAGATTGTACTAAAACTCACACACAGAAGGTTTATAGGGTAATTATAAAAAAAGTTAAAACAAAACAGAGGATACATGCCATTCTGTATATACTTTTGACAGCAATGTTTAAAAAAAAAACCTCAGACATCTCATAGTATATTATATTTCATAACTACTTAAAGTATTTATAAAATAAAGCACCCACATATTGCTGAACCTTCACAGTTGATGTAGTTTATGTAAATTCTCTGGTATTAGGAGGACTGATCTTAATAGCCATCATGTGATCCCATATCGAAGCAGCATTGGAGAAACAAGATTGGATCCATATATTATAAAATACTAATTATTACTAAATAATAAAGGTTAGAGCTAAGCACCAGCTCACTATACTCAAAGAGACCACTGGCCACTCTCTTGAATCTATGCTCAGCATCAGTTGAATGTTAGAAGAAGTGGGGAGTATTTGTAGATTATTTCCCCTTGCCTTTACTGGGAAAAACCTATTTGGTCGCCAACCTTCAAGTATGGTAGATAAGGCTTCAGTCTATCAGTCAAAGTCTTTGCAAATAATTTCAGAACAACATTGGGGAGTGAGATTTGCTTAGTCTATAGAAATATTTTAATTGGATATTTTTTTATTTGTTGGGTTTTTTTTGTAGCCATAACAAATATATTCTATGATAATTTAACTACAATTTAACTACATCTACATAAAGAACTGACCTATTTATTCCCACTTATTGCCTGCTACCGATCGTTTCAGCGGGTACCAAGGAGAGGCAATTACTGCTTTACATGCAAATGTCCTAGAACATTATTGTCATTATTATTTAAAATGATATATTTGGGAAAATCGCAGCATGTAAGAAAATCTTTATTCAACAGTTAAAATTTTTAATTCTATCTATTTATAAAATATGTTTTTACCAGGATACTATTTATCAGATTATCAGGTTACCTTGGAGAGCTGTCATTTTCATCTGCTTTCTCTTGTTATGCATTTATGACTGCTGATCTGTGCATTTACCTGTGTTGTAATAAAGTGGGTCATATTGTTGTACACATGTGAAAAAGTGCTGGAGCATAATTGGTGCCACCTACACTCATGTTCAATTTTAAATTTACACTAGCTGATTAGGGCCCTTACCTTTTTACCCTTACAGTTCCCTAAAATTTGTCATTCTAGATATTCCTATGAATTCATTTAAACCACCACAATCAAAATAAAGCACATTTAATGAAAAACAATAATGAAATGTCACTGCTCATAAAGGTGCAATGCTATTATAGTGTGATAAAAATTGTTAGCTAGTTTTAAGGTTGAGCTTTGGGAGTTTACATGTAGGGCTAGCATAAATTAGTGCTTAGTGTTAGGGGGCTTAGATAGTTTAGTGGCCAAAGGGTTAAATGAACATTCCAAACACCATAACCATTGCAGCATGCTGTAGTGGTTATAGGTAGTGCCAGGAGTGTTCATGGTGTCATCCCAGAGCAAGTAGTTACCCAGAGTCCCTCTTAAACCCAATCCAACCTCATCAAAACCCTATGCCACCCCCAACCCCCAAGTTACTGCTTGGGGTAAATTTGCTATACTCATAGCAGTGCACACTGTAACAACATTAAGCTATTTTCAATATGGCTTCAATATAACATCTTAATAAAGCCCTTTTTAAAGTAATTCCAGTGTCTTAGTTATTGCTCTTATTTATTCTGTGCTCTATAATAATGCTGCTTATAATAACCGCTCACACTGGCTTCTCTCTTTTTCATCCTGCAGCTACTGACCTTGCCTTGGACCTGTTTTATTGATTGCTGCCATACCAACCATTCGCTTGTTTGTCTTATTTCTATTCTGGTAACTAGGATTTGCAGGTAATTGCTAAACACTCTCCTTGCTGGTTACATTGTTAACTCTTTCAAGACGAAATGTTATGCTTAGCAGTTCTAACAATCTGGTCCCTAAAAAATCTATGCCAGCACAGAATGCCCTGCTTAATTTTGGCAGATCCCTGCCGTCCTTCTCTCTTAAGATAACTGTGAAATTCCATACTGGAATGCAATCCTTAAAGAATAGATTCTTTGATCCAGAAATAAGTCAAATCTGGTGACATCGACGGCCCAGTAATAGTTCTTTCTTTTGCTATACTTTTCTTTTGCATACTATTGTGTGGAGGACTTGCCTCATTTTGTTTTCTGGGATTACTGTCCTAATATCTTTCACATATCACATATAATTTACTATGTTCACGTACATTACAACAACAAGTGATTTGTTTCAATAACTTCCTGCAATGTGTGGACTAATATTGGTGGGAAAAAAACCATTTCATTTGAAATTACAAATAAAAGAAATAGATTCGTCCTACATAAATATTACGATATCAGCCCATAAATAAAAAAAAATCTGACTAATATAAGTCTTGGCAGTTGAATTGTCTTGTCTGGATGGTGTTTGTTTTGTTGTGTGTTAGGTGTAATGTTTACATTTTAGTAACACAATATTTGTGACATACAAATGTGCCAGAGGTTAATACTCTCTCAGTGCTGTTGCCTGATTAAGTAGCTGTCTTTATATTCATTAGGTAAGTGCTAGCGCATGTTAAAGAAAGAAAATAAAGTAGATCTGTCACTAGCTTATCACCTAAAATGAAAATTAAAAAAAACATTTACTTAAACTTTGTGGTTGTTCTGGAAACAAGGCACCTTTGTTCTGAGGATGATTTCACTGCAAGCTGAACTACTTTAACTTTCTTCAGTTACTTAATACGTGTGACATAGCTTGACGCTGGGTAGAGTGGTATTAATCAAACCCTAACAAAAACAAAAGACTAAAAAAAAAACACGAAGAAAGACACAATTTGTAAGAAATAAAGTTGGTTAAAGAGTTGGAATTATGTCTACAGCTGTTTATTTAAAAAGTATATTTTTATATTTTCATTAGTTTACTCAAAGTAACAGTACTGCAGATGCTATTTTGGACAGTTAAAATAAAATAAAATGCAAACATTCGAAAACTCTGAATATGTTGACACAGCTCTAGTTTGACACTTGGCTTCATTGACACATACCTGGTTACGTGAAGTCTTCCTAATCCAAAAAAAAATGCTTGAATTCCAAATTATAAGAAAAATTGGAAGGGACTCATAATCACAGTATAAGTGCAACCCCCTCTATGAACTCACTTAATGAATGATGTGTTTAAGGAGCCAAATTTAATTGACTGACACTTTCTTTTACCTCTGGGAGAAGAAGCATTTCAGCTGTTTTATATTAAGCCCCTTCCAATCGAGCAACTGAAAATAGAGAAACGGACATTCACGTCTCTTCTTTTATTCATGGGCCCACTGACAGGGACATGTATAATTTATTTTATTCACGGTCCTAGTGTTAGGGACAGCTTCAGAATACAGAACATCCATGTCATCTAGTGATTTTAACAAAAAATCTTTGTTGTTTCAGTTCTGTGAGGTAAACTGACTTCAATAAAATATATTTACGAGTAAAAACAGAATATATTAGCTACCCAAAATGTTTTATATGCTGTAGTGGCTTGCTTTGTTAGAGGAACAATTAATTTTCTTGCAGAGCATTTTCCTAGTTCCTCATCATGGGCCTCTGAAATGTTTTGAGTTCCCAATATTGCAGATAAAAGCATTGGTAGTTGATAAAGGATAATAAACACTCTTACATGAATTCAATGACAGTAGTTGTAAGGAGCTGCAAGAAGTTCTCAGTGGTCCTTCAAGGAGTAACTACCCAAAGATAACTTTCAGAAATCGTTCTTAGTGGGAGATATTTGAAAATATGCATTTATTAAATTTCACTTAATTTGGCTCTCAAAAGTTAGTCAGGTCACATCATTTAGTCCCAGGGCTGGCGCAACCATAAGGTGGCACAGGTGGCATCTTATGCACACTGTCTGGGTGACCATCAGGAAGCGAGCGCACACCGCTCCAACTGCTGCTAGCAACTCTATTGTAGTGCGGCAGTGCATACTGCAGTAGAGATCTTCTTTATCTTCAATCCGGGCTCACATGGAAGCTGCTCGCTGAGAGCAGCAAACAACTTCCAGTCAGACTTGGTAGAAGATACAGAAAATCCTCTACCATAGTCCACATGGCCATGCTACAAAAGGGAGGCAAGGAAGTAAAGAGGTACACATACAGACATGCAGAAGGGCAGGGGAACTGAGAAAGAAACAAACTGGATGGAGAGAGGAGAGAGACACAAAGAGGGATTGAGGAAGGGCAGAAATAGACACACAGATGGGCTAGGAAAGAGGAGACATATACACAAAGGAGCTGGGTGGAGAGACGGAGAGACAAACAAAGTTGCTGGGAAAGGGGAGAAAGAGACACACAAAAGGGCTGGGGTATTAAGAGACACACAATGGGGCTGGGAGAAGTAAGAGACATACAATGAGGTTGGAGTAAGTATGTAACATACAAAGGGCTGGAGGAGTAAGAGTCACAAAGGGGTTGAAGGAGTAAGACACACAAAGGGGTTGTAAGAGTAAGAGACACACAACTGGACAAGGGGTTGTAATACACACAAAACACGAATAATATACACTAAAGGGGGTGTAAGATGCAAAAGAGGAGATAAGAAACATATAAGGTGTGTAACCAAAATCCTTAAATCAGCCCTGTTTATTCCTGTAAACTTGGGCACTGCATTTTCCTTTCTACTTTCTGCCCTGTCAATTATTTATATGATATGGCTAAACCTAATATTTTGTCAAATTGTGTAAACTTTTACATATAAGTTGTTAAAAATATGCTTTGTGAACTCATAAAAGCTTTATGTGTGCGCTAGTTTCTCTTTACTAAATATTTGGATTTTGTAAAACACATACTGAAGTGCAATATGCCCATAAATACAGAGGGTTCAAATAACCAACAAGATAAAAATACACTGAGACATGTCGAGTGCAATTTTAAGCTACAGTAAAGTATGCCGAGTATGCTTTTAATACACTTTTTTTAACCCCTCAGGGGTTACCAAAATCCTAACATATCATGACTGTTCGGCACTTCATGTGTCATAAAAGAGTTTAATAGTTCTGCTCATGCAGTTCAGCTTTTAGATCTCTACTAAAGGATTCCCAACTCACAATCCAATAGAAAGCTATGGGCGTACCAGAGACTCTTCCTGGTTTGATGAGGGCTCGCTTCAGAACATGCAAATCCAGAACTCCAAAGGTAAGTATAATTATTTTAAATGTTTTGCATATTTTTACTGCTACATTTAAAAGATGCTGGAGGCAGGTCAAACCAGAATTATCTCTTTCAACCACTTCTATTTGTACCAGTTTAAAATGTACATTTATTTAAAAATAAATGCGTTAAGTTAATAGGAGATTACTTTCGTTAAACGTATTAACTGTAGTCAGGAAAATAATCCTATATTCATAACAGTATAAACGTAGGAGAGTGAAGAGCTCACTTTTTTTTCTTTACAAACTATTAATGATGTTCCTCACTTCTTTTCTGAAGCTGTTGTTGGCTAGCTCGAAGTAATTTGTATAGCTCTGTATATTGTTTATCCTTGTTTGTAGACCGAGCACATTGCTGTACCACCCTATGCAGTTCTTCTTGAAGAGGAAATGAATTGCCAGATTTCATAATGCTCAACGTAAACCAGCGCCGAAATATCTTATCACAGATAACCTGCAAACAATGGAAATAAAAGGCAACATTCAGTTAGATTATAGAAACTAAGGAAACCAAGGCGAAGGCTAGGTGTGGAACTTGGCTACAGAGAAAATGTTAAAAATAGGCTGGATTTGAAAAAACAAAAAAGGTAACATTAATCTACAGAACATAAAAATGCATAACGACATAAAATACACATGTACATTCTATATTCTGATATTTCAGTTTATCTTAATATCTTGATGAAGACAATATATGGATATTTATCTGAGGAAAAAAGAAAATATAATGCAGTATAATCGGCACAGGGGTGGGCGTGGGGGGTGTAACAAATGAACCCTACTCCATGAGTGTGCATGACGTGGTTGTGGTGGTGAAAGGGTTAAAGTTCAATATTTGTCTACACTAGACTGGAAATAATGATACAACCCCCATTAAAACCAGCCACACTTAAGCATAAATAATATAAATATTACCATTTTAATGCTGTCACCACCAAGACAATTTATAAATGGGGCAGCTTGGTACCCTTTGTAAGTGAATAAGAAAAAAACACCAAATACAACTTAGCATAATGCCTATGCAATTGCAAAACACTAATTAGCCTCTTCAGGTTCTTTACCAGAGAAAGGCAGAACTTAATAAAGGAATATTTATTATGAGCAAAAAATAGTCACAGTGCATACAAAAATACAGATGACAATCAAATTAGTTACACCAACAACAGATAAAAAAAAACTAAAGGGATACAATAACAGAAGTCCTAATCACTTACTCAGGTTTTCAAAGTAAAACTTCTGCCCAGGGGGTCTCTGGTAAGAAAGGTGATGACTCACTTAGAATTAGATTCTGGCCCCCAAGCAAGTCCAATACACATTTCAGTATCATTGGATATATACCCTGTGGATTGCCAAGCCTAGAGGTGGAGTTAAGGCGTATCTATAGAGGCAATAAGTGACCACCCCCTTGTGTTCCAGACCCACATAAATCCAAATAGAAACCTTTTCTTTTATCTCCTCTTGTGTAGTTGCCACAGAAATAATAATTGCATCTAGGAATTTGTTACAATTTCTCCATTCCATAGAAATGTCACACTTCTTACTTGTGACCCAATATAGCGGACATCCCAATCCCTTCCCATATGGTTAAGTTATGCCAATTATGTTTGGGCTTGTTTAGAAGATGGTGCTTGTCTCATTCTAAATATAATAAAAATGAGGCTTAATTATTATTCTGTGGGTACATATTAATGTTTCTTTTGGATATGATACTTAGACAATAGGCTAATGATCATTAACATATAAAAAAAAACTCATCAATTAAGAGGCAGAGGTCATATGGCTGAAGTCAGCTAGTTTACATCGGAAGTAGACATTCAGGCATCTCAGGTGTACAATCTCACACCCTGCAGAGCTTGGAACTAGATATCCAGTTATCTCCAGTGAAGAATCTCACACATTCTGCAGAGTCATTGATTAATCAAAGGATCCATCCATGTTGCAAACCATCTTCCCTCCTTCACATTCCTATACCATTTATATTATCCCTTCTGTCATCTGACCTTGCAACCAAGTGGCCAATTCATATATGCACTATATAAATTACATTAAATGGCAATATTCTATAGTGCAACAATGAATTATGCACTAGTGGCGTGACAGGAGGTGGTAAAGAACTTACTAGATGAATGAAAATTCAGGCATATCTCCCTCTTTTATAGGGTAAGCAAGTGGATGGAGAAAATTTTCAGAGAGTTTCTTCATACAAGGAAATCTTCTTATATCACTCAAAATGAGAAGATAAAGAGAAAGATAGTGCAAACTGTATAAAAGTAACAAATTTATTGAATACAAATGCACTTATAAGATGTCAAATTACAATCAGCATATCTCTACACAATGTGGTGGTATCAAGAACTCCAGCAGGTCGCAAGAAGCTCCCAGGATAAAAATAGAAGGATGCCAAAATAATAAAATAACAAAATACATACAAAACAAACAAATATAAAACATAAATAAAAAAAACAAGTCCTACGCGTTTCATCCTGTTTGGACTTCCTCAGGGATGTATAATGATGTTTCACAGAGTTCCTCTTAAATACTCATTTAAATGTAGTTAACCATCGGCAGCTGATGGTCAGGATGGCGTGCGTTTAACTTTGGAACGCATGAAGGACTTCCGGGAAATATGTCACTTCCGGTTGCCGGCGATGATCCAAATGTATGCCAATACCGCCCATATGGTAAATGGCATTGTAGGAAATAGTCCACGGGAGGAGGTTGAATACACAACGAGAATGAACCCTTTTAATGACGATATCAATAATGCAGACCTTAATACAGCTGTAGTTATGAGGCAGAGCATAATAGACCTACATCTATACAACGAAAACAGTATCATGAATATATAATGTAAAAAAATAAAATATATATATATAATTATGTAAAAATGAAAAATGTATCTAAAGTGTTTTTTTCCATTCTTTCTAAAAACACCTTAGACACAACTAGTTAATTCCTAAATTCTGGACTGTTAGGGGGTACTTGAGGGCTAGGTTAGGAACCACTGCTCTAGATGGTTAATTCCAGTGCTTCTATATGGTTCTTAGTAAACACACTTCATTGATCAGAACTATTTTTTTTTTTATTCTATTGTTATTTTAGTTTACATAAATAAATTAATTTTCGAGTTTGCCCTGGGTAGGTTTAAGGTACAGTTCATTTAGTTTCTGAATAGTAACTACCGTACAAAAAAAAAATTGAAATTGAAAATCAGCTTTAACTTATTATAATTAAATTTAATTTACTTTTTTTGTTGTTCTTATTTGCCCACTCTCTACCTAGTTTTTCAAACAAATTCATACTGAGGACTTTGAGATACTATGTATATCTCCCTATCTTCCTGCATATGTAGGTCCACAAAATAATACCCTAATAAATCAATGTTTAAAATACATCTGCTCTTTTCTAGATAAATCAGTTATCAAAACACATTTGCTTGTTTTCAGATAAATCACTTGTCAATACATGAGCTCACATCTAGATAAACTCAACCTGAGATGTTTCATATATTTTAAAATGTATATTACTAATCCAAAAGTTGTCATCCATATTATTCTGGTTCAATGTCAAACCAACTCCACCCTGACTATCCTAATAAATGCTAAGCATGTTCATACATCTTCACACATCAATAAAAATAAAAGTTTGTCAAACAAAACTCACAAAAATACTTGATTACAACAAAAACAAAAACTGAGCTATGTATGTGCCATGAATACTAATGTAGTTATCTTTAGTCCCTTTACATTCGTTTATTTTCTTCAATGATATTAGCAAATGTTATTTAGCTGTTCTGAGGTTTCTTTATCTAAACAGCTATGCACGGTGGGAAATATCTTAGCTGCTATGTCAACAATAAAATAAAGTAAAATTGGATGGATAAATCATCCCTGACACACTCAGCTCTTGTGCCATAAAGAATAAATCGTGCATATCCAAAAACTGTTTACAGTTAAAGGGATACTATAGGCACCTAGACCACTCCAGCTTATTGAGTGTCCCTATTCCAATTGTAATACAAAGCAAAACATGTTTACATTGCAGCACTAAGACAGCTTCTGGTGGCTCTATACCAGACTGTAGCGTTACTTACCTTATCCAGGGGCCGGCCGCGGCTCATCCGACGGCTTCACTAGGAAGGCGGGCAGTGACCGCGAGAAGTGGTCACGTGTCCCGCCTGAATCTAAGAGCGCGCCGCGAGTCTCGGGCGTGCTCTTAAAGAGACAGTGGGAGCCTAAATTGTTAAAAGGCTCCCATTGGCCCCTGTCATGCCACATTCCCCATACACTTACCTTTTGGGGGTGTGGATATGACAGGAGCCAATCAGATTAGTTTAGAAGCTATTTAAACTTACCTCTCCCTTTACTCCCTGCCCTATTGTGGTTTCTGTTTCAGTTCCCTTTAGCGCTTGTTGTGTTCAGTTGTGTTTTCTCCATATTGACTTTGGCTTTGTTTCTGACTATGTTTTCTCTTTATCCTTATCTGTTCTGGTTGTCGGCTTCCTGTTTACTGTGTACCAGACCCCGGCTAGTCCTAGTTTACGCTGTCTCTCTGTGTCCTTGACTTCGGATCGTTCCTGACTCTGCCTCCTCTCATATACGTCGAGTCCGGCCATTCTAGGGAAGGCAGAGGGAGCTATAGTGCCAGGAATACCACTTTGTATTCCTGGCACTATAAAATCTCTTTAAAGGAATTTAAACCATATAGCCTGTGCATAGGTTGATACAAAACTCTCTAGGGGCTCTCATGTGGACCAGCAGTGTTGGCAGAGTCTTACAGGGTTATTTACTAAAGTGAGAATTAAAAGTTCAAATTTAAGACCAGAGTAGCCAAACTGACAGAATTTTTTATATTCAGCTATTTAGATCTTAAATTTATAAATCACTTTGAATACAGTTTAAATTCGCACTTTAGCGGTGTTTGTAATAATTTCCTATAATAATATTATGGGTTACAAAGATAACTACAAGACACTACAAATTATTGCCTTTGTTTTTATCATTGTATTTTGATCTCTCGTATTAACGACTGCAATGCAGTAGTGTATAAAATATATAATTTCTAGTTTGATGTAACGAGTACTACATGAAATATTACCACTGGGAGCTAATGGTAGCTAATAACCAAGACATTTCCATACAACTGGGCTGATTTCCAAGAAATTTCAATGCTCTTTGGAGAAAAACTGAATTTAATATGAAATTAAACAGAACCTAGAGGGTAAATGAGCAGCAACTCCTGTACTGCAGAAAATCTTTAAACAATCCATAAGTAGTTCAACGAAACAGAAGTGATGAGCTTAAGGTGCAGTGCAACAATTCATCTATACTTCTCCGCAAGCAAGAGATGTAAATTAACATGAAGCTTTATGATGAGTTGTCATATTTATTATCAATGAGTTTTGGCTACCTAAACCATTGTAGATTTTATTGAACTGCATTAGCAAATTCTTCAGTATGATTAAATAAATTATATTCTTTTTTTGTGGATAATTAGCCTATTTATGCACCTGAGAAATACATAAGCTTGGATTGCCTGGCGTTAAATATCCATCTGTAAAATGTGTTATGATGTGGGGGATATTTAAGCTAATACCTATCCTATATTACAAACATATTACTGGTCCTTAAAGGTGGGCAGACAATGGAAAACCAGATAAGAGAGTAGTCAGAGTATAGCGGGGTCACAATACCACCAAATCACAAAAAACTAGAGACCACACCCTGGCACTGGCTACAAGTCGAAACCAGCTTTTATAGGAGTATTGTAAATTATGGATTTGCATCATCACTACACACCCAAAATGTAGGTGAGCATGGATAAGGACACCTCATTATTTTGAAGCATGGATAATGCACTACAAAACATTTTGCAACACCTATAAAATCAAGTCAGCAAGCTGAGACATTTCAAAATGACTTTGAACAGAACATCTATCAGTAAAGACCATAACCTAAATTCAGTCACACCAATCAAGCCTGCCAACTGCTAAGCAAACAGTTTGCAACACCCACCAAGTCAGCATGTTTTTCTGCATGTGCGCTGTTCCTTAATCTGTATTTTTTTAAATATTTTTTGTTCTTTATGGCAGCACCACTACTTAGAAGTGCATGTTTTGGGTATGCCATCAATTCTCCTTTTTTCTGTGTGGATTTGGAAATGTTTGATTCTCGTAAATTCAATGTGAATTTAAATTTAAGGTCAGAATATCTAAAATGGAAAAAATCCCCAAGTCAGAAATGCTTTCAGTTTGGCTATGTTGGTCTAAAATTGAAAATTCACTTGGAATTTAATTTGAATTCCCAACATGTTTCACTTCAATAAATAATACTGTAAATATGCAGCACATTCCATACTAGAGTGAGGTCTTCAAGTTAATGATTAGACTCGTTTTCTTTGCCGAACCCAGAAAATGTTATACTAAATGAAGTTAAAAATATATATTGACGAGTTACTTACTTGTAGATTGTTGTTTTCTCTTTGTGCTCCACACATGTATGTCTTTAAATCACAGGTCGAAAAACAGTCAAAAAAATTACAGTCTTTATCTGAGGTACATTTTTGTTCCAGTATGTTGCGCATTTTGGGTTCAAAAAATGCCATATCCATATCAATAGCCACCACCTGGAAGCAATTAAATAATAAAAGTTGAATGCAAATAAAATGTTGCAACTTTGTCAGCTGCCGTTTGCAAGAAGACATTTCACAGATAATGAAATAATGCAAAAAATATGTTTTATATACCTTAACCATACTTGAAAATAATGAGCTCTTCCATTAGCTGGGTTCCCATTTCTCTTTTTATCTTGTACATTGATGCTATAACCTGAGGTTTTTGACTGGCCAAAAATAAGTTTCCATTATATATATTTTTTTTAATTCTTTATTTATATCAAGATCAGACACCACAATAAGATATGCAACATGATACAGATTAACTCTGACACAAGTCAACATTAGTTAGAGACGAATAGTTGCGCATATTCATAGACCCATCTTTGAACAATATAGCTAACTGTTGCTTGTTGACTATGATAGTCCGTATACTGTGGCGTCCCACCCATTTTTTAATTAAGTAATACAAAGACTCCTGACTGACTGTAAAACACATGGTAATATTTCACGTTACCTATCATCATTGACCCATAGAATGCTTTAAAAGGTTAGCTAAGTCAGCGGACTCCAGCCTAGTGCACAAGGTTGCCAATGTTGTATTGCCATTTTAATCGTGAGTATCCTATAGGCACCCTTCAACTCGCCTCAGCTAATAAAGGCTTTAGCTAGCGGGATGGTCGATGATTAGAAGTCAGTCAGATTTAAAAAGAAAGAAATTTAATAAAATAGAGAATATGATAGTTAAACCGGAAAGTACCATGAGAAGAAAAGAAAGAAGAGGGACGGGAATGGGAGGGGGTGTTACAGGGAGTTTCCGTAGATGATACAGGCCTGTCCATATGCCTGTATATTTAAACAAGGACCGTAGCGCCCGTGGGGTGAGTTGTAACCCATGGACTTCTCGGTGGGTTCCCAGGGGTCCCATTCTAGGGGGTGAAAATGAGAGTTTGTTATCATACTCGATATCTGTAGAGGAGGGGCGGGGTACGGAGGGAACAAGCCCGTTCCCCCTCTCCCCTAATCGCCAACTCCGCTGTCTATCCAGGGGCCCCAAACCTTTTCCAGTTTCTTAATAGTGGCCCGAACCCGAGCAGTTAACTTGTCCATGATGAATGCATCCTTAATCTTCTGTATCACCATATCGAGAGGGGGAGTCTCTCTCTGCAGCCATACTTGAGCCAGGGCCCTCCTGGCAGCCAAGGTCACCTTATGCAGTAAGTTTTGTTCCATTCTGGACCAGTCATCCATAGACCTTGCCAGAAGGAACACCCAGGGGTCTGGCTTGACCTCCCTACGTTAAGTTTCCATTATATAAAGTTCAGTTTTCCTTTTAAAGAAACACTTAAAGCACCATAACAACCATAATAGAGTGTCGTAATGATTATGGTGCCAGTAATGCCCTAGTTTTTATTAAATCACAAGACAAAGTATGGACTACTTTGTTTTATGTATTTTTCATACGTTTGACTTTCTTTGACCAAAGGAGGAGCTTAAGTCAGCTACATTTCTTGTTTCAGACAAAGTACTCGCCCTTCTCCTTGACACAGGAAATGGAGCTGACTTAAGCTCCTCCTTTGGTCAAAAAAAGTAAGGCATAGGAAAAATCCTTAATTTGCCTTGTGTTTTAAAGAAAAATAGACCAGAAATAGGAAACGAACAACAGATTCTGAGAGAGGAAGAGAAGAGGAAACAATAGGAGAAAGGTAAGTTTGGCGTGACTGTGATGCTTTAAGCCTGGCTGTGCTAGGCTTGTCAACAAATGTGGATACGTTTGTGATTCTTTCAAAGTTTGCAGGAATCAATATTTGGTCCCTACAGATACTCACTTTAGTCTACTTAAAATGGACAGTCACGTGGGAAAGTCAGCACTAAGCTCTATTAGCATTTTTATGTTTAAATATAAAATACAATCCCTTTGGTGGCAACTGTCAGGAACAGATTTATAATGTATGTACTGCAGGCTCTAATGGTTTCAATAAAGGTTTTGTTTTATTGATTCCTACTGAAGTAGTGATGTAGAAAGGCCACAATGGAAAATTTACAGTTTGTAAGAGAACCAGCAAAGAATTTAGATTCAAAAATACTAAAGAGAACATGATACAAGACAAAAAAAATATTGTCAGATGAAAATAAATAAACTAAGTAACATTGTTAAAGCCTTAGTTGGATGGTGGTTTTTGAATGTAGCATCGTTTAATATTTTCTGGTTTAAGTAAGAAATTAAATCAGAGGACTTAACATTAACCCTACCACGTCTACCTAAACTGGGGATAGCAAGGACTGGCAACTTGCCATGGAGGTAAAAATAAAACTAATGGCCTTTTTTACATGTTAAACTCACAAATATACATGGGATGGCACCACCCAGCAATGCATACAATACATGGGTGTGACAGAGTGAAGCTGTTGAAGTTGCACAGTGTGACATTGTATATCTCTGCAACCTCCCATCAGAATGACCTGTACAGTATGAGGGAACATTCACTCTGTGGAAGCCTAAGAGACTAATCCACTTGTAAGTATCTTCAATATAGACCAGTGATGGCTAACCTTGACACCATAATTTTTTTCTGGACTACACTTCCCATGGACTCTAAAAGCTAGCTGAGCATCATGAGAAATGTAGTCCAGAAACAATTTATGGTGTCAAGGTTAGCCATCACTTGTATAGACCATGCTTCATATTCCGATATCATAGACAGCAGACGAGTATTACTCTGAAGCTACACACACAAACCAAGCATGCTAGTGGCTGGGGGGCAATTTCCCCCTCCTATGCTTTGCAATCCTTCTCTGGAAAACAAGACATCCTGTAATCTTATCTTCTTAAATTGTAGAAACAGATTGATTATGACAAGACATGAGCCATACCAAAACCATATTACAGTATATTAAATGAAACTAATTTTAATCCAGTTGCATAAGGCAAAGCATTTAAAGTGAAATATAATATTACAGAGTAGTTGGTGCTCCAATATAAAAATAAGAAAAATGCTAATTACAATTGTTTTTACAAACAAATATGCAGCCCCAAATCATAAAATAATGTTCTAATGAAAACCAACAAGCAAATGTAATAATCTTAGCACTAAAGTACATATCCTGTTGAGAGGTGGAATAGTTATCTAGAAAACACTAAACGGTAGGTACCTTGATCACAAGTTACACTGAAGAAGGCGCATATTAGAATTGTAGGGAAACCACAAATCATCCTTAGCAGGTGATATGCGATTTGTTTGTTGATACTTCAGCTGAGATATACACAGGATGAATAAAAGAGCCATTAACTGCGACCATTAACCAAAATAACAGTACTGTAAAAGAATAATTTTTTAAAGGGTTTCATAGTTCAATTCACAAAGGAACCATCCTGGATATAGAGCTTTTTACAGCTGTTTTGAAAAAAACACAACGCAAGTTAAAATTGGAGTGAACCCAAAGGAAACATAAAATCCACAGATGGAATTAATTTGTCTTATGGAGGTCTCATCTCATAAAATTAAGCTTGGAACTAGCCAACAGATTTTACAGGTTTTCATAGACTGTTATCGGGAATAAATATCTTTAAAACAGTTTTAAACACTTAGCGTCAATGATCTCAGAGTTCACTTGATTTAAATATTTCCTTACCAGGCAATTTAGGCATTTATAGGCAAACTGAGATGCCAATCTACCAGGATATACACAAAAGCTAAAAAAAAAGTAATTTATTAATAATAAATGAATAGATGGAGAAAACACATATCCTGCTCTGTACAAAACTACTCTAAATAATTTAATTTAATTTAATTTAATTTAAATATCACATCCAGTTGCCATGTAAAGCAGGTAACTTAGCACAAGTTTTTGCATTGGAGCTTTTGTATGTTGATGTAACTCTGTGCCTTGAGGGGTATCAGCTACACCTCACTGACAAGGCCCAATGAAGGCCGAAACCATTGTCTGGGTTGTTTTTCTTGTGCTTTTTGGTTCTGGACTGCCTTACGTGTGGGATCAGTCTGATATGCGACAGAATATGTTCTCTCTGAAATCGCATAAGTGAACAAAAAACTATTTTGATAACTGAGTAGGGATTTTTTTTCTGTAAATTGATGTTAATTTAATAAAGTTATTTGAGTTGAAGCACTGATCAGGATCTAAGCAATTGTCTAACCACGGGCAGTCTTTTGTCTTTGATTAGACTTATCATCATGGCACTGACTGACTTAGCTACTTTCAGTTTGGAGTATTTGATAAATGGTATGGCTTGAAAAAAAAAAAAAACCGTGTGCGTGCCAAGCAGCTGTAAAGTGGGCACAAAATAGTGTAGGAGGGCACACAAAATATAGCCAGGGACAGAACAGTATTCAAATATCTAATCATATAAGAGATGCACACTAAACATTATAAAAAATTAGAAACAGCGTCATTACCAAAATACAATAAAATAGAAAGTATACAAAAAGTGACAATAAGGATAATAAAGCATCATACAAAAAATAGTATCAAGATACCATAAAATTCAATATACCATGTTTCAGCGTAATGCTTTTCTAAAGGGACCACATGTTGTGTTTTCATTTTCCAAATTGCTATTTGCCACTGTTTGTGACTAAGTGGCTACTAAGAAAGACTGGGAATACCCCACTTGCAATACCTTGGGTTGTCTGCTTTTGCAAATGGTTTGCCATCATGGGGGTAATTCTCATTCCCGGGCTACCATACGCTCTCAAAGGCAACATAACCAATCTGGCAAATTTCAATGTCAAAAAAATGAAATGCAAACCTTATATGTGACTCTCTAATTTTCCAAACCACCATAAAACCTGTACATGGGGGGTACTGTTATTCTCGGGAGACTTCACTAAACACAAATATTAGTGTTTTAAAACAGTAAAACATATTACAACAATAATATAGTCCATAAAAGTGCCGTTCATTTGTAAAAAAAATGCAAAAAACGTCACTTTTACTTAAAATATCATCGTTGTAATACAATTTATCATTTTGAAACACTAATATTTGAGTTCAGCGAAGTCTCCCGAGTAAAATAGCACCCCCTATGTACAGGTTTTATGGTGTCTTGGAGCGTTAAAGGGTCAAATATAGTGCTTGCGAATTAAATTCTCTGCACTTTCTCCTTGTGTTGTCAGGCACGTCAATCAAATTCTAATTAATCAAATCACATAATTACGTTAAAATAGTACTTAAATATACACGTAGAATTTTAATATATATGCATTTAAAGGTATTTACATTCTACGTGTATACTAATGTAATCTTTTATGTAATTATATGTATTTATCTATATATATATATATATATATATATATATATATATATATATATTTGCGGTTATTTGTATTTTATATATAGATATATATATATATAGAATGTCATTCTAAGTGTTTTTTTGTTACCAATATATATATATATTAATAACAAAATACAGTTAGAATGAAATTACATATGAATATATAATTTATATAAAATTTTGTTTCAATATTTTATTTATTTTATTATTTTATTTATTTATTATTGTAATTATATATATATATATATATATATAATATATGTGTATATATCTATTATATATAATATATATACATATTATATATATATGTAACGTCATTCTAAGTGTATTTTAATACTAATATATGTACTTATATTAATATTAAAATACACTTTGTATGACATTACATATATATAATATGTATATATATTATATATATAATAGATATACATATATTATATATATAAAAATACATTAATTTTATTTTAAACATGTTTAATTATTTATTTTTTTACTTTCCCACCAGCAGGGGGACTGTCTGACATTTTAGACAGTCCCCCTGCTGGCAGATCCACAGCCAGCTATAGGGGGCCATGTGATCGCTCTTTGATCCAGCCAGCTATAGGGGGCCTCATTTGCCGGGGGAGGGCTGTCTGGCAGCCCTCCAGAAGAGGATCGCGACGGAGGTAAGTCCACCGGACCTCCAGGGGCTGCAAGCCGTTACGGCGTTCTATGCCGCCGCAACGGCTTTAAAGCCCTTTTAATGCGGTACGGCATAGAACGCCATAACGGCGTTAAGGGGTTAAATTACTCAAACTTGGTTAGGTTCAGCATTTATATTTACCTTTTGGAATTATTCTTTTAAACAGATTTACAGATAGGCTGAAGTTTCATTGAGATTTAATCCATTCAATAAAATATTGAAAATCACCTATGACTTGTGGTAGCATTTTCTTCACAAGATATTCTGTTTTCTTTTAAATTTAACTTAACGATTAATAACTACATAATCCAATTCAAACAGAGCAAAAGTCAGGGTACCAGTGCACACAGGGAACATAGAAACATTGTTTCACTTCTCTTATGTGTACATTTTACAATAATTGTCAGGAAGCTAAAATGGAGGCACCCAGTTGCAGGATAAAGACGTGTTAATTAATATATGTAATATTTTTCACACCTCAGAAATACATATTATTTAAATATAGGGATAAGTAAACACATTATTAAAAATGCTGGGAAGCTTGAGTTCCCCTTTAAGGGAAGACATTTTACTTATTGATACCAGCGGTAACCCAATTGTGAATGAGTAACAAAAAAAGAATATCTGTTGCAAAACAGAACATTAATACATTATGCTCCCAAAATCATTTTAAGATGCAATGCAGAATTTGAAAAAGATGTGCCAAACTACTAAAAAGAAAACATATGAACTATACTGGAAAAATATGTATCTAATTGAAACTTATGTCTTAAATGAAGAAATAAGCTCCTTAAATAAGACAAGTTGGCAAAACAAAATAACCCAGCTGTTTATACTATAACAAGAATTATAGAATTTTAGTCTTAACCAGTGTCGCTGGTATTTATATCTATTACTGTATCAGGCACTGAGAAATTAAAATTAATAAATAATTTAGGGTAACTTGTAAGTGTATCAAAGTAAACATGATTAATCAGCCAAGAAAGTATTAAAAAAATGTAATGCTAGAGTTTGGAACAAAAAATATAAATATATGAAGTGACAGATTTGGAATTTTTGTAGTGTTACAGGAAAAGCCTTTGTAGTCATGGTTACACAAGCCAAACAAAACTATAATATTGGCATTACATCTAAGAGTAAAATAAAACTACAAAATTGGCGCAAATAATGCATAGTACAACAAGACTATGAAACTGTTCTGGCTTCTGTAAAATAGGGCAATGTTATAAGATTATGGCTGATTTACTATATCTGTAATACTTTAGTGATTATCATGTACTTAGCAGTATAAAATAGAGGAATGTGTAATTAATTAATTGGCACAGCATCTATTGTAACATATTAACATGAAAGCTGCTCTCATCACTGTAGCAAGAGATGAAATAAAGATACTCAAGTTATATATACTTTACCTGGTCCTGAAAATGTTAGTTATCCTCTGTTAGTGTAAAGGAATACCATAACATTAAAAATAAATATATTTATTTTTAATGTTAATGTGTTACTGGGGACTTTTAGATTATGGGCCTCCTTTTTAAAAAAAAAAAAAAAATTTAAATTCAAAAACTAAAAATTCTCACCTTTTATCCAGCACCAGGTAGTCAACCTGCTGCAGTCGCTCTGAGCTTATGTATTATATGTATTGATCATCTCTGGTCTAATCCAATGCTTATGAAAGAAGCAAATAAAGACTTTAAAGGGACACTTTAGTCACCAGAACAACAGCTTAATGTAGTGGTTCTGGTGTCTACAGCATGTCCCTGCAGGTTTTGAAATGTAAATGCTGCCTTTTCAGAGAAAAGTCAGTGTTTTACATTGCTGCCTAGTAATACTTCTAATGTCAGTAACTCAGACAGCAACTAGAGGTGCTTCTTATTTCAGTGCTGCACTGTGTGTAGCACCTACTTTCAGTATCTCCACGCTCTGCATGGAGTTGCCACAAATGGAAATGGCTAGTTCAACACTATAGTGTTAGGAATACATGTTTGTGTTCTTAACACAATAGTCTTACTTCAAATTATTTGAGAAATGCTGCTGTTGCAGCCAAAATGTTTATTTATTTTGTTTAGTTTTTTAGCTATCCATGAAATGCAAATATATGAAACTTGGAGTGCCTGTTTCTTCCTTTTACTTGATTATTATAGTTAAATAATTACATAGGCTAAAAAAAGACATGCGTCTGTCATGTTCAGCTTTTCTCACATCTGTTTTTGCCGTTGATCCAAAAGAAGGCGAAAACAACAATTGGAAACACATTCAAGTTTTGCAACAAATTAGGGAAAAAATTGCTTTTCGACCCCAGATCTCTCCCTGGATCAATAGGCTGTTACCCCACATATTAAAAATTATATCCCCGAATATTATTTTTTTGCAAATATTTATCCATTGTTTAAACATCTGTACAAACTCTGTTGAAACCATTGCTTCAAGCAGAATTCCAGATCCTTAAAGTTCTCACTGTAAAAATACCTTAAATATGTGCCTCAGACGAAATCTCGTTTTTCCAGTCAAAATTTATGACTTTATGTTCTATGTATAATTCTGTTTATGAATGGATTTAAATTATGTAAAGTTTATCGAGAAATAGTCACTCTGACGGTCCCTATAGGAGTGGTTAGTGAAAAATGTGAACAATGCCATTTCTCTGAAAGGCAATGTTTTACAATGCCTCACAAAAGGGACCGGGTTTATGCAACAAAACACTTCATTAAAATATGTTTAGAATATCCCTATAACAAAGTTTTCTGGTCGATCCCCATTATTCTCCACATTGGGTGAGCGTGTGATAAGGCTTTTTATAATGATATTATCACACATACCTTGGTTTAATTCCCGTTACATAGAATATTCTTCTGTCAAGTTACCCATTAAGTATAATTTATCATATAACATTTGGGGCTGTATTATTTTAAAAATGGATACAGTGGAACTAAAAAAAGTTACACAATAAGCAGGCAATTTGAGAGAGGCTTTCTTTAAAGAATTGCACTATTTAGTATTTCCGTTTACAGGAAGTGTGTATGCCAAGTAAAACTATTTTATTTTATTTCCTTTTCAGGTAAGATGCCCATTGGCTTTACCAGCTTGTTGTAAAAAAAACAAAAACATTTGTGTCATAATTTTAAATATATTGAAAAACCAAAAGTATTGTAATGTGTGTGAATATTGCTTTACTAAGTTCCTATGTGTGTCAATATGATTGCACAAATGTGTTTTTACAATATCTTTTAATTTGGTTAGTAAAAAAAAATCCAAACATATTATTTACTGTAATGCAATACACAATACACCCATAAGTATATATTCTATTAATAGCATTTATATAGTTAATCTGGTAAAGTTAAACAAAAAACATAGAAACATCTTTATTGTATTAGTGGACAACAATGAAGCTATTGGTGGAATCACATAGAGAAGATGTGTATACCTGGGAGCATTTGTAGGTCAGTGACCCTAATCCTTGCCCTAGAAAGGAAGGAGCAGAGACCCTGACAAACTGGTGGATCAATTACAAAATGGCCAAACTACTCAATTAAATGTTGTCCCTTTCTTTGCAAGAGGCTAAATCCAGCCAGACAACATAACACAGTTACTCCTGTTACTTAGAAAACCTTACTTGAGATGTTTAGCAATAAGGTCTTAGATCCAGTAACAGAAGAAAAACAATGCATTCAACGTTTAGCTGTGAGCTACTCTTCTCAACTTAAAAGGAATACTCCAAGCAAGCACCAACAATATAGTCCACTAGTGGTCATGCTTCCCATTGTGCCTTGGCACCTATGCATTGAAAGTAGTCAAACTGCTTAAGAATGGTTTGAAAACTTATCGGGGGTCTGCTGCATTTACTGAAATCATTTGCTAGCTATTATTCATTTAAATAACAAAAGTATGTTGTCAAATTAAATGCAAGACATAATTTAGTGTTTTGATATTTATGAGGGAAACTTACGGTGAGATCATTTCTAATTGCAAAGTTCTCTGGTTTGACATCGCAAAGATGAAGTCGATGAGAAAAATCATTGTCAAACTGATGAACCATGTCTAGGAAACTGACAGCAATATCCAGGAGGGCATTCAACCTTTTATGGCCGCTGTTGCACTGACCAATAACTTCCTCTAGGTTAAATAGGCTCTGTTTCCAAGAGTGTCCAGCACTAAGGAACTCCACGGCATAGAAATGGCCACAAGTACCAATCACGTGTAAGACATGCCTGCTAAAGTCTTGCAGCAAATTGAAAAGCAGGTATTCTTCTTGTTGAAATAAAGACCACATACTGGCCAAGTCTATTTTCCAGTTCTGACTTTTTTTCCTTTCTGTCATAATGGGTAATATGGTATTATTTGATAGATCCAAACCAATGACATTTTTTATTTCTACCGCCACCATTACTAAAAGTTCTGAATCAGAAATTGTCTGACTGTCTGATTCTTCTAGGAGAAAAGGTTCCATAAAATTTGAGAAGGCATCGGATTTTGATTTCAGTATTATTGAACTGTCATGCCAATCAGCCTGAATGACTTTCTTTCCTGGGTTGTAATAGAGGCAGTGTTTGTAAACCAGCTGATGTGTAACACATAAATCTTCACATAAATCTCCTGCCACCGAGCCCTCTATGTAGTCATAACACTGTAGAAAAAGCATAAAACATATTATGTAGCAACTTGTATATATGTAAAGACTACAATATAAAAATATTTGATTAATATAGTGGCCATTACCAAGCTTATACAAGTGTCAGTCATTGCTGGCAAAAGGAAAGGTGCAGTGTAAAGTGAATGGACCGTCGTCCAAGCTAGTTGGTCTTAGAATACCTCCCATGTGTCCCATTTATAGGAGGGACTGTTCCTATTTTGGGCCCAAATCTCTCTGTCACTCTTTTCTAGCGTAATGTTTAACTTTTCTAGATAGTCTAGTTGCTGGTGCATCCGAGAGTATAACAGAGCACGGTAATCTATGACAGTATTGTCTCTAAACTCTAATATCATGGACTTTTGTTACGGGTATAGGGTAGAGTAGGTGACGAACATGTAATGGCCATGTTAGATCTATGTCTTAAGTTATAAGTAACCATATGGTAAATGATCATAGGTAATCATAATCATATGATAAGTTTAGGATGTGTACAAATATGTGGGCAGCTCTCTTAGGGCAAGGGCTTCCAAGAAATTTGCATAAACTACCTAGGCATATCTTTCCAGAATGTAATTGGGTAAGACACCACAACTTCCAGCAATGCTAGTGCATTTGTTTGGGTGAAATGCATCCTATATAATATCAGAAAATATGCATTCTCTGTGTGATTGTGTGCTTGTTTAATTTGTTTTTATGTAATTATTAAAGTAGCATCTTTCATATTTCTTTTCAAACTGTGTGTGTATAATACATATATATATTTGTCATTAAAGGACCGCTCTAGGCACCTAGACCACTTCAGCTTAATGAGGCGCTTGCGTGCTTCTCACTGTGATTTTCACAGTGAGAACACGCAAGCGTCCATTGTAAATGCTTTCCTATGAGACCGGCTGAATGCGCGCGCAGCTCTTGCTGCGAATGCGCATTCAGCCGAAGAGGAGGATCGGAGGCGGAGAGGAGGAGGAGAACTCCCCACCCAGCGCTGTAATAAAGGTAAGTTTAACCCCTTTCCTCGCCATCCAGCCTGGCGGGAGGGGACCCTGAGGGTGGGGGCACCCTCAGGGCACTATAGTGGTCCTTTAACAGCATACTAAACTTGTTTGAAGTAGATTATTGCTGTTAAGGCAGACCAAGATCATAATAAGGGAACCTTTTTGGGATACATTTACTCACAGGGTAGGTTTCTGAGTTTATCTAGCTTGTGTATGCATGGGAATTCAAATTAATTTGAACAATAAAAAAATAAAAAAAATAAAAATGTTATTTTGGCCTTAAACTTGAAAGTTATTGAGAATTCTCAACAATTCATAGATTAGTGAATACCTCTGGCACTATATTTCTGTACATTCCACTGGGTATGAAAATAGAGTTTGGTGATCTTTCTACATACGATTTCCAAAAAGTGTGTTGTAATTTTATATACAACGTATATATTGTATTTTCATTGCAGTAATTTGTTTTTCTAATACATATGCTGAAGGCAAAATATTTTAATAAATCCTATTTTTTTTATTTATTTTTTTAAATATGAAACACTACAAGTTAAAAATATGTGAAAAATGACAGTCAGTTTATAGGCATGTTTGGATTTATGTAATTTATGTGGTGAAATGATATCCTTTTAAGCTATCCTTTAGTTGAACTCTTTAACATAAGGCAAGCTTTGTGTGAACACTATGCGTTGAAAAATATTTTAAAAAGAAAAATAAGCACATAGACGACATGTATCAGAAATTGTGAAATAGCCAAACAAGCAGTTTTCACATTGAATTTAATTCGGTCAAAAATCCTGTAGACAACATTTCTCCTCAAATTATATTTTAATTAAGCATCATGGTAGTTACAGATCACAGAAACTAAAACTAGAGTTAACTATAACTAAAGCTTGCCTTTTTCAGTTTTCTGCAATGTTATCACAGCCATTTGTCAATACATTTTCTATATTATTTGGGGTAATTTGTTACTAATATATTCCTCTTTATTATCTAACATTTGTTTTCCATTGCTTTGCTAAACAATGCAAAAGAGACTTTACACATCACATGATTTTGGTCAGCTGACAGCACTTCCTGGTTGTGATGCATTGTTGCAATGGGGGATTTGATTACTTTATTTGACTACACATTGGTTTCCTTACTTCCTTTATTTTTCTCTGAGAGAACTTTAAAGTGGACAAGAGGTGTGATGCTGCCCTAAAAGCATAAAAGCCAAGTTACAGAGTATATATATATATGTTCCTTTAAATTTAAAGATTTTAACAAGGTAACGTGGGGTAAGTTAACCCATTTACATAAACATTTTATTTTAAGCGCTCCACTTAAGGTGTAGATTTTACTTATACCACTTTACAGATTTTGAATTTTGGGTCTGGATGAGAAGGTATTCTTTACAAGTGTATAGAACTGCTGTTTTTTATTCACTTTAGCACTTTTTGTATAGACACCACTCTCAAAAAGGAGGTGTATCTTGTTTGCAAAATAGACTTTATTCCAGTAAACTGCTCTTACTCTATCCTTTGCTCCGACACTAATTTTCATCCCACAGAGAAACAATGCACTTCAGTCTGCTTGAAATATTATTTGTAGTCATTGTGACTCTTATGAATAACCATTTAACTTATCTTGTTTTCTCACACATTCTTTATATACAAAATTGTATTTCTGCTTCTATACAAAGCTTCCGTGTCATGGCTGAAAATTTGCATATTAAATTATAAGATATAATCTCTAAAATTATTTTATACACACAAGGGCTGAACAAATACATGTAAAAATGCTATGAATGTACATTTTGTTTTTAACCATTGACCAGCAATATATGTGCTAAATTGTTATTTTAGCTTACAGTAGGAGATAGGTATTCATTCATTTTATGTTTTAAATAAAAGTTAGTATTTTTTTTAAACAAATAACTTTTAGTGAAAGAATGTGTCTGGCATTGTTCTAAATAGCTAAGAAAGGGTGGCAATTATGAAGTCTCTTTCTGATCTTGTCCTCATGCCAAGATGTCATTTATATTTCTATTTTCTGCAATTTAACATAAAAGAAGAAAAATGCACAACTCATTGCTGCGAAATAAAGTTGGTGACATTCTTGACCTCAGTAAACTGGTCAGGATTAGTAATATGACATTCATACCTACAGGCAATGGATTGTTTTCCTGTACGGCAAAAATGTCAGAAACAAGGTAGAACAAACTTTAATGGGCTCCTTTATTGTACTTAAAACTAAATGTTATACAGCTTCCATTAAGAGAACCTGGCATTTGGTCTATAAGCTATTAGTCTTCTGCTAATGATGTCTTTGAATCTTTGTTTTAGTTTGTGCATAGTGTATTTAGAGACTAATGGCCATTTTTCAATTAATTTACTTAATTTCACCAGTGGCAGATAAATGTCTGCAAAACAATCTGTGAGGCAGACTGATCTTATTAGGAAAAGGGGGAGAGATACATATTTTCTATGGAAATAATTCAAAGAGTAACATGACTTTCTGGCTCCTGGAGTTTGTCAAGTAGTTTTAAACTACTTACACGCTGTTTTAAACATTTAACCTTCAACGTGAATTTATACTACACACCATAAACCGCCACAGTTGTCCTCCTGAAGCATTCCCAGGTTTAGAGAAATTTTATATAGCATCCCGCTTGTTGTGTGAGGTAGCATGAAGTAGAGGACAAAAGATTAAGCATTGGTTAACCCTTGACGAGCAACTCCTATGGATAGATATAATTGTCCAACCACAGCCGAATTAAAGGGCTAGGTGAAGCAAATGCCTTTAAATGCTGCAATGGTGTCACTCTAACATAAAGTTGGCCCTTAAATCAATCTTACCATCACACCATACTTCTGGCTTCACCTGGGTTCCTAGCCAACTCAATAAAGAACAATGAGGTGCTTATTTCAAGACTTTCTTTCGACATCCTGTCTTGCCATAGCCCTAACACAATTTGAGCTTATTTACAATGCTACTGGACCCCAGTCATTTGTGTTTCACCGATGTACTTAAAGCTAATTAAAAACAAGTTCCACTGTTCTGAAAAACTGCATTCATCATCATAATGAGGTGTATGAGATACAGAATGGAAGATATTTGTATATACAGTCATCAGCCACAATATTAAAACCACTGACAGTTGACACACTGACAATTGAATAACATGGATTATATATTTCCAGTATGCAGTGGTCTGTACCTACCAAATGTGGTGCAAAGAAGGAGAACCAGTGATCCATTGTCAGGGTCATGGGTACACAAGGCTCATTGCTGAAAAAAACGTAATGCTGGCCATGATAGAAAGGTGTCATAACACACAGTGCATCCCGGTTTGCAGTGTTTAACCCCTGCGTAGCCATGACCACTCAGAGTGCCCATAATGACTCTGGTTGGTCATCAAAAGTGCGTTCAATGTGGACTTAAGCATTAAAACTGGACTAAGAAGGACTAGATCAGGTGCATGGGCATAGCTCACCTGGGGAATAGAGGGCAGCAGGATGCACTATGGGAAGAAGGCAGACACAGGCATTATTATGTTCTGGGCAATGTTCTCCTGTGAAAACTTGGGTCCTGGCATTGATGTTACTTTGACAAAGACTACCTTCCTAGATATTGTTACAGACCCCTTCATGACAATGGTGTTCCCTGATGGCAGTGGCCTCTTTCAACAGGATGCACCTTGCCACACTGCAAAAAGTGTTCAGGAATGGTTTAAGGAACATGACAAAGAGTTCAAGGTGTTGCCTTGGCCTCCAACCTCCCCAGATCTCAATCCAATTGAATATCTGTGGGATGTGCTTGAACAACAAATCCGATCCATAGAGGCCCCACCTCACACCTTGCAGGACTTAAAGGATCTACTATTAACGTTAACGTAGACGTGTGCAATTCGGTTCGGTCCAAATGGAAATTGGTACGTATTTCAGACATTCGGATGCTTCCAAATGTCCGAATTGCCAAATTTCCAAAGTGCAGAATTTCGGTAGTGCCAAACCGAACTGAACTGTCGAATTTCCAAAGTGTCGAAGTGTAGAATTTTGGAAGTGCTTTGGACTTCTGAAAAGTGGCAAAACGGGTAGGGGTAGGATTGGGGTTGGGGTAGGGTTAGGTTAGGAGTAGGGTTAGGAGTAGGGTTTGGAGTAGGGCTAGGGGTAGGGTTAGGCGTAGGTTTGGGTTCGGGTTAGGAGTAGGGATAGGGTTGGGTTCGGGTAGGGTTAGGGTACCTCTACCCCAAACCCTAACCTATCCCAACCCTACTCCTAAACCTAACCCTACCCTAATCCTAACCCTATTCTCAACCAAGCCCTAACCCTACTCCTACACCAACCCTAACCCTACTCTAACCCTACTCTTAACCCTAACACTACTTCTAACCCTAACCCTACTCCTAACCCAACCCTAACCCTACACTTACCCAAAGTGCCAAAGTCCCGAATTTCAGAAGTGCCGTACCGAACCAAGGTGTCGAATTGCCAAAGTCCCGAATTTCGGAAGTGCCGAACCGAATTGACAAAGTCCCGAATTGCCGAATGCTGAACCAAACCAATTTTTTTTCCCATGCACATCCCTAACGTCTTCATGCCAGATACCACAGAATACGTTCAGAGGACTAGTGGATGCATCAGAGCTGTCTTGGCAGCACAATAAACGATATTAGACAGGTGGTTATGTTGTTTCTGATCAGTGTATGTTAATATACTGAGGGGGTTTGTTACTTCAGTTTTTTATTCATTATTCATAGACTTCAACAATGTAATTTGCTTGATCCAGGGTGCTCATGTTCATATCTCTATTCTGTCATACTACTGATGTTATGTTTTTATTTTTGGTTTTGAAAAACACCTATAGCTATTATATTTTTAACAAAAAAGAATCTGGAAGTTCTAAGCCAAGGTTTTGAACATACAAAACAATGTAAGTGTAAGTAAGTGTAATTGTTCTGGGATTCTGCTTGATCATTTGACCCTTAACACATTAAGCATTGAGGTAATTTTCCAAGTTCTGATACTAAACAAAATCTCGAGTTTGCACTATGTTTTTGTTCTACTGTATTTTAAGGTATTTGTTAATTTGGTATTCGTTAATACCACGTGAAAAAGCAGGTTTCATTTATTTATTTATTTTTAAAGATATTTTTAATTTTTGCTGATTTTATTTATAACTTTGTCCCTTTTTAAAAAAAATTCTTTATTTTTGTGTGCTGAGTAACAAAATGTACAGTTACCATGTGCAATAGAGAACAGTCGCATTGATATCAACATTGGATTAATAACGCATATATCGTAATTCGGCACAATTTTTATGTTTTTGAAAACCGTTATGAGATCCTAGGAAGTGGGTTGTATGGTGTTGGGTGTGGATACGTCAACTGGTTATGTATGTCGTTACCTAGGTCATTGGGTGGTGTTATAGGTGCGATCCATTGTGGGTGCTTGGCTTTATGCTGAGTGAGAGTCATATGGGCGGTTAGTCCCCTTCGTGGATCTGTAATGGTTTGAAGTGGGTTGTGGATTTGGTCGGTTAGTCATGGGAGCAGCTTGTCGGGAAGCCTTTCCTTTCAGCGGAGGTGTCTGTTCCGTGGTCTGTGTAAGCTACTCTTGAGGGGTGGTGACCCTAACCTAGGGGCTGTCGGGGGGGAAGTTGCGCTCTGTGTCACTGTGCGCAACTTTGGTGTGCCAGTGTGCCAGTGCCTTCTCTGGCAAGCTCTTAGAGAGACATTTGGACCAGGTTTTTAACTTGTGGGCCATCAACATAGAAACTTAATAAAACATTAAAATAAGAGACAATTAGCAGCTTTTAGCCTTTGAGCAGGCCCGAGTTTCCATTCTCCGTGTCCTTGGCGTAAACGGCTCGATCGTCGCTGGGTCACAGGCGGGGGTGGCTGTCTAGGTGTTCATGGTTGGTAGACCTAGTTTTGTTAGTATCGCTGTGGTGTTGGATCCAGAGGTGATTTTATACGTGTTTTCTTGATGTTTGACCAGTAGGTGGCGTGGGTTACCCCAACGATATGGTATTCCTACTGTGCGTAGCTGGCCAGTTAGGTCCTGGTAAATAGTCGATTGGGACTCCTCGAATTGCAGTGGCGCCTTGCCCTTGAGCGCCGACATTATGTGCCCCCTATCTTGGGGTAGGATGCAGCGGATTATGACATCTCCTGCCAGAGGTGTGTTTGCCCTAGTTGGAGTGGGTAGTCGGTATATGCCGGCAAAGGTAAGTTTCCTTGTCACCGTGGGGGGTAGTATTGATTGCATGAGACGTCTCACGTAGTGAGGTAAGTACTCCTTGGTCACAGAGACTGGAATGCCTCGGATTTTAATATGATTGTGTCGGTGTTTGTCCTCTTGGGCTGCCAGTTGGACCTCTAACTTTTGTTAGTTGTGTTGTAGGTGTAGGATGGAGTCCTGCAGCGAGGAGATTTCTCTTTGGATCCCTTTCACTTCTCCTTGTGTGTGTACCACTTTCTTTGTGATTTGTTGCATGCTAGTTTTAAGGGTAGGTAGGTCTGCTGCTTGGAGGCTTTGTATTTCTTGCAGCATGCTTTGCATATGCTGCAGGTCCTGTTTGGTGGCCGGGTCTGTGATCCCCTGTTGGGGTGTGGGTTTTGGTTGAGTAGCCCCCTGAGTGCTTTGCTCCAATGTGTTAATCTCTTGTGGGGAGTCTGGGCCCTGTGCGGCTGCCATTTTGGGGGGTGTTTGACGCTGGAACATTGTGCCTATATCAGGCTGCGCTGCCACTGTACCTTGATGGGGTTTCTGGGATCTGCGCCCCATCCCTGAGGTTTCATGGTCGGAGCTGTGCTGGGATGTGTCCCACGCGTCCTTTATGAAGTCCACGCCTAGCAGGTAATCCAGGCCGTGGTGGTCTGATGGAGGGTAGGCCTGGGCTCTGCACTTCGGCTTTGCCTGCTTCGGGGTGTACTGGAAGGGCATCAGGCGGTTCCGGGGGGTCTCCCCTATGCAGTGCTGGTGCTTGTGGTGTTGGATGGCAGGATATTAGGCTGATTTTCGGGTGATTGGATTTGTGATAGTTGGAGCTCCCCGAAAATGGGGTCTGGTCCGTCTCGTTACCAGGCTCCGCCCCCCAACTTTGTCCCTTTTTTATTTATATTTTTCTCTTTGCTGTTTTAATTTTAAAACTTTTCCCTTTTTCTTACATATATTTTTATCACTTTGCTGTTTTTGTTTAAAACTTTTTCCCTCTTTTTTTTTTCTCTTGCTGTTTATATTCCCCTCCTTGTGTGTGCTGCTGAGCTAATTAGGGGGAGTAACCCTTAATTTCCACCTGTGTGGGATTTGTATTGCTAATATAAACCCACTACTGACTCACAGAGCTTGCTCACTGGAGTTTGCTTGAAAGTAGGCTATTTAAAGAAGCCTCTTTTAAGTAGGAGTTGAAACAGGAGTTTCAACTACAAGGGAGTTTAAACCAAGAGGGTAAATATTGTTTTGCTCACTTGTGTTTTTGGTTACTGGGGATGAGTGCTAGCAAGGTTGAGAGTTTTACTCAGTGCACATCCTGCTGCATGTATGCATGCCTGGATGAATCTGTCCAGGGTCCATACCTCTGTGGTGGGTGTGAGCGAGATGCTTTTCTGGAAGCTCAGATTGGAGGTCTGGAGAGGCAAATTGCAACACTGAGGGAGATTGACAATCTTGAGAGGAGTCTGCTGGTCACTGAGCAGAGTCTAATGGGTGCAGGTAGTGTAGTGGGAGGAGATGAGACAGTTGGTGAGCAGGCACATAACTGGGTAACAGTGCGGCGAGGAATGGGGGGGAAGGAGAGGAAATGTTTCGCTAGTCCTGATCTTGTGCAGCCTAACAGATTTGCCAGTTTGAGTGAAGATGTTGGGAGCATCAGGAATAGCTGTACTGCAGGAAACTGCTCCTTCTAACAGCTGTGGGAACAGCCCCTCTAGTACGGGTGGGGTTGAGAGTGTAAGGAAGGCTAGACAGGTTATTAAGAGAGTAGATTGGGTAATCTGCCACTCTGATCGTCTCAACCAGACAGTTTGCTGTCTCCAGGTGCTCGGGTCCGGCATGTTGCCGACAGAGTGGAGGGATTATTGGGAGGGGCTGGGGATGACCCAGCTGTCATGTTCCATATTGGTAACAATGACAAAGTCAGAGGAAAAGGGATGATCCTAAAGAATGAGTTAAGGGAACTAGGAAGTAAGCTAAAGAAAAGGACCTCTTTAGCAGAAAGGCAGCGGGAGATTAGAGAGGTCAATGCATAGCTGAAGTCTTGGTGCAGGAAAGAGGGTTTTGGGTTTTTAGAGCACTTGGCCGATTTTGCACTTGGGTACAACCTGTATAACAGTGATGGATTGCAGCTAAACGGAAGAGGGTCTGCTGTGCTGGGGGATAGGATGGCTAGAAGGTTGGAGGAGTTTTAGAACAAGTAGTGGGGGGGAGGATCAAAGCAATCTAGAAAATGGCAATAGGATAGAAAGGAGATGGTCTTTAGCTCAGTATAAAGGCGGTGCACATGGGGGGAGGGGTAAGCTAAGAACAAAGGAGATATGTAATATTGATAAAAATTCACAAAAAGTACAAATGACTCATGATAATATTAAATGTATGCTTACTAATGCACGGAGCCTAAATAACAAAATGGGGGAACTAGAGGCAATAGCATACACTAAACAATATGATATAATAGGCATAACAGAAACATTGTGGGATGAGACACATGACTGGTCAGTTAACTTAAATGGGTACACATTATTTAGGAAGGATATGAAAAGCAAAAAGGGTGGTGGGGTATGTTTGTATGTCAACCATCAGTTAAAGTCAAATCTTAGGCACGTGGAATGTGACGAGGAAAATGTGGAAGCTTTATGTTTAGATATCTGCTTGGGGCAAACTAAGGGAAATCAATTATTGGTTAGGATATGTTATAAACCACCTACTGTAAATATTAATGAGGAAGGGTAGCTGTTAGAGCAAATTCGAAAGCTGCAAATCGGAGTAACACGTTAATTATTGGAGATTTTAATTACCCGGACATAAATTGGGACAGAGGGACTAGTACTTCAGCAAGGTGAATCAGATTTTTCAATGTGTTAAATGACACCTTCATGTCACAACTGGTACAAGCACCAACTAGAAAGGATGATTGTCTGGATCTCGTTATAACAAACAATGTTGAGCTTTTGACCAACATTCAAGTAGGGGAGCATTTGGGAAATAGTGATCACAACATGGTATTTTTTTAAATAAACTCAAAAAAGCAAAAGCACGTGGGATATACTAAAATGTTAAATTTTTAAAAAGCCAATTTAAATAAGATTAGAGCAGCTCTACAACATAGCAACTGGCATAAACTCCCTAGTGAAAAAAACACTGAGGATAAATGGAAGCTCTTCAAACAAATATTAGAAAGGTACATTTCTCAGTATGTACCATTGGGTAATAAATATAAAAGAAACAAATTGAAACCAATGTGGCTTAGTAGAGAAAAACAAGAGATTAAAAATAAGAAAGGGGCATTTAAAGCATTTAAATCTTACAAATTAGAGGCATCCTATATAAGATATAAGGAAGCCAATAATACTTGCAAAAAGGCAATTAAAGTGGCTAAACTAGAAAATGAGAAATTGATAACCATAGAATGCAAAACCAACTCCAAAAATCTTTTCAAGTACATCAATTCTAAAAAAACTAAAAATTAAAGTGTAGGTACACTGGAAACAGAGATGGGTCTGTTAGTTAATGAAGACCAGGAAAAGGCCGACATTTTAAATAACTATTTTTCTTCAGTATATATTAATGAGGATCCTATGGCAAGAGATATGCAAATGATTGCTGCAAAAAACTTGCAGATAACTTGTGATTGGATGACTCGAGACAAGTTGCTACAGCAGTTAAAGAAAATCAATGTAAAGAACGCTCCGGGGCCTGATGGTATTCACCCACAAGTACTTAAGGAGTTAAGTGGGGAAATAAGTGAACGTTTGTATTTAATCTTTCAAGATTTGTTTGTTTCAGGTATTGTACCAGAGGATTGGAGGAAGGCAGATGTTGTTCAAAATCCTTGCCTGGAAATTATAGACCTGTGAGCTTAACTTCTGTGAGTGGGAAAATATTTGAAGGGCTATTAAGGTATAATATTCAGGAATTCATTGGGAAGAACTTTGTTATTAGCAATACTCAGCATGGTTTTATGAAACATAGGTCATGTCAAACTAACCTAATTGCATTCTACGAAGAAGTAGGTAGAAGTATAGATCAGGGTGTTGTTGCAGTGGATGTGATCTACTTGGATTTTGCCAAGGCATTTGATACGGTTCCCCACAATAGGTTAGTCTCCAAACTAAAATAAATTGGTCTAGATGAATATTCTTGTTCTTGGGTAGAACATTAGCTTAAGGATAAAGTACAACGAGTTGTCATTAATGGTGCATTTTCAGGCTGGACAAAAGTGGTAAGTGGTGTCCCTTAGGGTTCTGTTTTGGGACCGCTTCTATTTGACATATTTATAAATGATCTTGAAATAGGCATTGAAAGCCATGTTTTAGTGTTTGCAGATGACACAAAACTTTGGAAAGTAATAAAATGTGAGCAGGATATTGCTTTGCTGCAGAGGGATTTAGATAGATTGGGGGACTAAAATGGCAGATTAAATTTAATGTAGAGAAATGCAAAGTTATGCACTTCAGGGTCAAGAATGCACAAGCAATTTACACCCTAAGTGGTATTGAATTAGGGATAACCACACACGAGAAGGATTTGGGAATTGTTATAGACAATAAATTAGGCAGCAATATGCAATGTCAATCTGCAGTTGCTAAGGCCAGTAAGGTTTTGTCATGTATAATTTCTCGGGATGAAAATATAATTTTGACTCTTTATAAATCACTGGTAGGACCACACCTTGAATATGCTGTGCAATTTTGGGCACCTGTTCTAAAGAAGGATATCATGGAACTAGAAAAAGTGCAGAGACAAGCTACAAAGTTGATAAAAGGAATGGAGCATTTTAGTTACGAAGAAAGGTTAAAAAATTTAAATCTCTTTAGTTTGGAAAAATGTCGCCTCAGAGGGGATATAATAACATTATACAAATATATTCTGGGCCAGTACAAACCATTATCTGGAAATCTTTTCATAAACAGGGCTATACATAGGACACAAGGTCACGCATTTAGGCTGGAAGAAAAGAGATTTAATCTAAGGCAAAGAAAAGGTTTTTCTACAGTAAGAGCAATAAGGACATGGAATTCTTTGCCTGAAGAGGTGGTTTTATCAGAGTCCATACAGATGTTTAAACAGCAATTGGATAAATGTTATTTTGGGGTCAAGAAGGAATTTTTTTCTAGTTTGTTGCAAAATTGGAAGCACTTCAGACTGGGTTTTTTGCCTTCTTTTGGATCAACAGCAAAAACAACGTGAGGAAGGCTGAAATCGATGGACACAAGTCTCTTTTCAGCTATGTAACTATGTAACTATATGGCTAAGGGTTTCTCATTAAATATCCCCCATACATATTAATTATAGTCATATACCTAACCTTACCACTAACCTTAATCCAACACTAACACAGCATTAAACCTAACCTTGCATTAACCCTTCCTTTAGCCTAACATTACCCCTACACTAACCGTACTCTAAACCCAGCCCACCACTACCTTAACACTAAACCCAACCCTAACTCCTAACTCCAAGGAAACAGTGTTAGCATTGATAGCAGCAGATTGATTACCTAGTTAAACAGTAGAACAGTATGTGATGGCCAGCTACTGGATGTTTACTGCATTACATGGATATTTCCCTGTAATGTTCAAAAATTCAACATACTGCCTCTCCCGATCACAATGTGATTGGTGCTGGGCAGTTGGCAAAGCCCAGCACCAAACACAAGCGACAGGGGGGCATGCAAAGAGATACTGTTCAGATCCTGGGGGTCTACCTTAAGGAGCTGGCAGTCAGGAATTACCATGGCTGAGGGAGATCACTACATTGGTTTTAATGGCTGTATGCAGCACTCAATTTTACTGCTGCATACAGTTCATTGGTTAGCCTGGGGCCACTAAATGTAGCCTCAGCTGATAGAGGGAAGACCTAGGAATTGCTCATACAAAACTTTCAAGCATGTATGCAACACTCACTTTGATCACTGCATACAGCACATTTAGAAGTCTGGGGCCACTTATAGTGGCCCCAGCTGAGGAAAGCCACAGATATTGTAAAAAAAAAATGTCAAAAGAATTACTTTACAGTTGTGGCATTAAAGGGACACTATAGTCACTGAAACAACTTTAACTTAATGAAGCAGTTTTCGTGTATAGTCTCACTGCTCAGTTCTCTGCCATTCAGAAGTTAAATCACTTTTGTTACTGTCCATGAAGCCCTAGCCACACCCTCTCTGTCTGTGACTCACACAGCCTGCATGAAAAAAAAAGTTTAATTTTCAATCAGGTGTTTTTATCTCCTGTTCTGTATAATAAATCTTAACCACACACAAGAGGCTCCTGCAAGGTCTACCAAGCTATTAACAGAGCAGGAGATAAGACTGGGTAAGTTGGGGCATGATCTATATACCAAAACTGTTTCATTAAGCTAAAGTTGTTTTGGTGACTATATTGTCCCTTTATTAATGTGTACATAATTAGTGCAGCTTCCGAATTTTTTTTTTTTTTTTTAAATTTAAATATTTATTAAAGTTTTTCCATATTACAAAAAATAAGTGTCATACAATAAATAAAAATACACATTATAAATACATATTATAAATACATACAATACATTACATTGCAGACTTGATGTCATACAAAGCAAACATACATACAGTATTCAATCAGCTCTTTCCAATGGTCTAGTAAGTAAGTTTCTTGATATATAATGTAGGAAGTTTTAAATTCTTTGACAAAAAGTCTCAATATATATATATATATATATATATATATATATATATATCAGAAAAAAATTATTTTTAGCTTGGGGGGATTTATCGTTGGGGAATACGGGATGGGGGGAGTGTCGCAGATGTTTTAAAGGCCCTGCTGAGCAAATCACTCACATGTTACCTTTAAAGAAGCTTTGTAAAAGTATAGCCCAGGTATCTTAAAATACCTATTCAGAATTATTCGTCCTGTTATATTATTCAAGCCATGGTGTCCATATTCTATTATAGTTTTCTATATTAATGGTTTTAATTTTGCTTAAATTATTGCAGTCCCACCAAATGTGTTTTATAGATTCTATTTCTCTTTCACATCTCCAACAATTGTTAGAGACTAAAGGTTGAAATTTACACAATCTAGTAGGGACCAGATACCATCGGTTGAGAAATTTAAGAAAGGATTCATGTAAGTTTACACAATGTATTGTTTTCCTAATTTGCTCAAATGATTTCATCTATGATTGTAGTGGGAAATTTCTTCCCAGATCTCGCTCCCATTTTACAATGGAATCTGATTCAGTTTCGTGACCAAGTTTTGTTATAATGTTTCTAATAACCAGAGATTTTTTTGAAAATGCCCCATATAATCTTGTCTAATGGGGCCTAGTCTATAATTTGAGATTTGCCTAGAAAATGAACAATTCTAAAATAGAAAAATAGTTCTTTAGAAGGTATGTTATAACAAGCATGAAAATTTGGAAACATGCTAGTCTTTTATTTTTTATTTTTTTTTCTTCTTTATTTAGGAGTACAGGCAGAGAAAAAGTACAGCTTGTCATAGGTGTACATGAGAAAATTCACATGGGTAACAGTACAATTGCAATGATACAGAGTTAAGACAGGAGCGTATAAACCACACCATGGATATGAAGTGTAATATAGAAGAGATATTGGTGAAGATTAGTAGGTTCTGTACCAAGTACTTCAGGTTTGTATAAAGGTGGCGTTAGCCCCACACATCCAGTCACTCATGTGACTTGTATCAGGACTCTTAGTGCATGTTGGTTGAGGTCAATGTTGTCGTGTTTGCAGCAGGGGTACTTGTCTCAATTGCTAGACCTTGTCATGTGAAGTGATTTGACTGCTGCCCGGCTCATGTTTTCATTATGTTGAAGAGTTTGAAGAATTGAAAGAGAAGAAAAGGGAGGAGAATGTTAGAAGAAAAAAAGAAAATGAAAAGAGAGGAAACTGGAGCGATGAGGGAGAGGTTGGGTAGGGGGCGAAGAGGGCGCCAAAACACTTTTTCCACACGCCCCACCAAGGGGTAAGACGGATGGGCCGGTGTCCATTATTGGGTCACAAAGTCTTTCCACGGTTGTCATACCTTGTTAAAGGAGGACTCCGTGTTATGGATTTGGGCAGTTAATTTATCCATGAAATGGTTGTCTTTTATTTTTTTGAATAACTTCATCTAATGTGGTTACTGTGGTCTTAAGTCATGACTGCACTGCAGCGCGTCTTGCCGCCAGGGTGAATTTATTATGGAGTTTCTGTTCCCAAGAGGAGAGGCCCTCACTGTGTTTGGATAGTAGGAACAACCATGGCTCCGTATCCACCTGTCTGTTCAGCACCTCTTTTATGAGACTGCCTACACTCCCTTCAACATTCATCCATGGAGGTTTTCCCCATTCTGTGCAACTTTACGGGAGTGGTATACCACCTAATAAACATTTTGTAGGATTGTTCCTGCACAGTTACAGAGATGGAGCTTTTTTGCAGCAGCCTCCCATATGTCTACCCTGTCGGGTTCAGGCACCCAGATCCAGAATTGGGGGAGACCCGTGCTCATCAGGTGGGATTCAAAATCCACCCAGCAGTGTGTTTCTATTGGTGAGTGGTGGGCTGACTGGTAGTATAGAGGTTTGGTAGGCCCAGCCCCCCTACTGCTTTTGGTCTGTATAATGTATTTCTCCAGATTCTGTGCCACTTTCTGGCCCATATAAAATTATCGATTATATTTTGCAGGTGACATAAATCTTTCTTAGTAACTTTGACGGACAGCGCCTGAAATAAAAAGAGCAGGCATGGTAGCAGGTTCATTTTGATGGCGTGGAGCCTCCCTATCCAGGTTTTCGTTTTTCGTGCCAGGTAACCAGGTGTCAGGATTAAAGTTGATTCAGCACATAGAGTTGTGTCACACCTAGGACTAAAAGGTAACGTCTTACCGGGCCTTAGAATGGCCTGACTAAACATACCTAAGAATAGTCAGAATAGTACCCGAGGTCAGGGACACAGAAGGAGACACAACGATGAGGGAAAGCCAAAAGTCAGGGATACCAGAATACAGGGAAGTAAAACGAAGCCAAAGTCAATAAACAGAAAATAAAAGCTCAGAAACACACTCTCGGACAGCCACTAGGCAAACCATGACAGGGCAATGAGGAAAAGTAAAATTGCATTTAAATCAGCTCTTTACAAATCTGATTGGCCGAATATCGGCCTTTGACCCCAGAACGTGTGCGAGCGTCATCAACGTTGGCGGACGTAGGGCTATAATTTGGCGTGGATCCGCAGCAACCGGTGTTCATCAACATGTTGCAGGAGTCAGGTACACAGATGCATGGCCGCTGAGCGCAAATACCGCAAGGTGAGGCTGAATATGTTACACCAGGTCATGTTAAGGGTGTATAGTTCTCGAAGTAGAGGTTATTTGGGTCAGGTGTCAGTTTTACGCCTAGGCATTTAATTGAATGGTAAGTCACCTTTATCCCATCTCTGTTCCCTAGCCGCTCTCAGTCCCCCACCACCATCCTGAATGGTATTGCCATGGATTTGTCCAGATTGATTTTATAACCTGATACTTTTGCGTAGGAGGTTCAATAGTTGGGAAAGGGAGGAATCAGGTTCTCGTAGAGCCAGCAAAACGTCGTCAGCATAGGCGGCTACTTTAAATTTTGCATCTGCCACTTTTATTTACTTTTATTTCTTTATGCATTCTAATAAGGTGAAGTAGTGGTTCTGGCGCTATAATGAACAGTAGGGGAGACAGAGGGCATCCCTGTCTTGTTCCGTTGCTAAGTTAGAATGGGGCTGGGGCTGAGGCTGAGCCCAGGATAGGGTACATGGACATATGGGTCAGAGGCTCGCCTATACATGTGCCCAATGGACTAGGGTCCCCTGTAGCAGGAAGGGGCCAGCAGGGAGGTCTTGGATTTTTTATTGCTGCAATTGATTTAAAGATCTGGTATATTATTAAATGGTTAATACTAAGATTTAAAAAAAAAATTAGAATCGACCCCCAAAAAATTATAAGGGTCAATTTTTCGGCATACCTTTTTCTAAATATACCAAGATTTCAGTTTTAAATTTTTCTTACCCCATGCAAAAAAATGAGAAAATAGTACAATATTGTGAATCTGAAAAAATATTAGGAAAAGACAATCCTCCATTGTTAAGTTTGGAACATAATTTGCCGAGCAATTCTCGTTTTTTTATTCCGCCATATGAAGGATATAAAAAGAAGATGAAACTGATTTAGTATGTATTTCGGTACTTTAATGGGTAATGTTCGAAAAAGATACTCAACTCTAGGCATAATATAAGCTCTAACAATATTTATTCTAGAAATCCAAGAAATTTGAAGTTTATTCCAGCCTGTAATCGATTTTTTTTTTACTTTTGAAGAAGTTCTCCATAGTTATTATCTACCCATTTTTCAATTTCAAAGTTTATATTAATTCCCAGCAATTTAGTTGATTGCTAAAGCTAAATTTTGGACCAGTTAAAGCTAAATTTATGGCTTAAACAGTCTTTCTGAGTTGGTAGAAGGTTGTAATAAACAATTTAGGTTTAATTCATATTAATTTTATAGTTTGAAAAATGTCTATATTCTTTAATGCAAGCTAGAACCATGAACTAGATCTCCAAATATTCCCTCAATTCCAAAAGCTGTAAGAGTTTCTGAAAGAAATCTCCAGTTTACCCTGTGAAACGCTTTTTTGGCATCAACAGAAATAAAAACTGAAGGAATATTTTCTTTTAATATTATATTGGAAATTTTCCTTATATTATCACTTCCCAATCTACCTGTTAGAAATTGTGATTGAGCTAAATGGATTAGATCTGATATAACCATCGCCAATCTATTGGCTAGAATGTTAGAAAGAATGTTCATATCTAGATTAATAAGTGAGGTCGGACGATAGTTCCCCATAAAGTTTGGATCTTTCCCAGGTTTCAAAATAGGTGAAATTATTGCAACTAACAGATCTGAAGAGAACTTTTTTTTGGGATAAACTAATTTCACTGTAAAGTTTACGGAGTAAAGGGGATATTATAGGTTCAAAAAATTTATAGAAAACAGATGTATATTCATCAGGACCAGGAGCCTTTCCATTTTTAAAATCAAAGATTACGTCTTTAATTTCCTTTAAGAGTTAAACGTTTGTTTAGACTATTAAGTATTTATTTCTTTAATTGTGGTAAGTTCAACTTTTTAAAAAATTATTACAGTTCTAATTCTGAGAATTTATCTACGGGTAAGTTATATAAAGAAGAATAGTATTTCGCGAAGGCATTGCCTATATTATACGGAGAAAGGTGAATTTTCTCACCTTCCACTTTCTTTTTATGCCCTGCCTATTAAAAGGTTTAAGTCTACTTGAGAAAAGTTTCCCTACCCTATTGTTACTGCGGTACCATTTTTGATTAAGAATTAAGGTCATTTTCCTGACTCTATTCTCAAGTATTTGATTGATTTGTGACTGTACAGATTTAATTTAATTGGCAGTTTACAAGGTAGGATTATTTTTGTTTCACTTTTCTAGTTTAGCCAGTTGTATATAGAGATCTGAAAAAATCATTGCTCTGCTCTTCCTCGATCTAGCTTCCAATTGAGTAGAGGAGTTTCTCAGTGCAGCGCTTGTGTACAGAATAATAGATATAGAACAGTCTTAATAAAGTTGTAAAGAGGCTCAATATAAAAGGGTATCACTTTACAGATAAAATCCTCTTTGTAGAGGTGCCAGTAATTCTGTATATACCTTTAAATATAAAATAAGAAAATACAAAACATAGTGCAAACTGTATAATAAAATGGAAGTGTGAAATGAAATGCCAAATGACAACTAACAATGTTCTGAGCTAAAAAACTTAGCTCAGGTTTTTGCGCCTTAGGGTCCTCTCCCTCCTTTACGTCCAAACTTTCTTAGGGTTATATCCTAGATGATTGTTGCAGAGGGAAGATATATAGTGTAGTATAGTTTAGGCAAAAAATAGATAATATAATATAAGCTTACACAAAGAAGGAATGTGATCCTTAACCACATTTGTGATTTGAAGTGAGCCTATTGGAAGGCTCTGGGTTTGTGAGTACGCATTTGCACTTCTATATTATCTATATTTTGCCTAAACTATAAAACACTATATATCTTCCCTCTGCACCAATCATCTAGGATATAACCCTAAGAAAGTTTGGACGTAAAGGAGTGAGAGGGTCGCCTTAACGGACCCTAAGGCGCAAGAACCTGAGCTAAGTTTTTTAGCTCAGAAAATTGTGAGTAGTCATTTGGCATTTCTTTTCACACTTCCATTTTATTATACAGTTTGCACTATGTTTTGTATTTTGAACTGTGTGGTTCTCATTTGTATAATTTAATGTACAGTTCCCATTAACTTGAATGATAAATTATTTTCTGGGGCTTACAAATGTATGTTTCTTGATAACTTTTCACTCTTTTAATGTAAATAGATGAAGCATGTGTCTTTTTCATTTCTGTAAAACAGGCATTGGACGTCGTGCATGAAACTCCAGATGATGTTCTGCATGCAACTGTATCAAATTTGCTTTCTTGCACATTTTGTGCCTGGAGCATCCCATTAATGTTGTTGTGCGTCAAACAATTATTGTGTGCACATAATACCTAACTATGTTAAGGCATCACTGAGGAGACTGACTGGCTACAAAGCTTTAATAAAGATATTACAAATGTTTGCAGGCAACAATTCCTTTAAATGAACAAGTTTCCTAAGGATGTTTCATATAATAATTAAATTAAATTCCTTTTGCAGAATGTTTTGTTTTGCAGTTGAATTTTTATGCATAAATGTTATTTGGTTCCCTGGTGGGAATGATGCATTATAATGCTCAGAAAAATAAAGACAAATTCTGCAATTATCTCACCTATTATTTGTTGCATCAATCACTACAGTGTCCTAAACAGCCTCTAGAAGCAAAATCAGCATAGGAACTGTGCATTGGCAGCTTCTTCAAATGAGTTTCCATGGCTGTGTAGCTGTACGCAAGCCAGTGAAGGGTTATCTAAAAGGAGCCCTACAGCATTAGGAAATAAATGTGTATTTATTTATTATTGGCATTGATATAGCGCCAACAAATTTCGTAGCTCTTTACAATAATATTGGAAGGGGAGATTTAACAATAAATGAGACAATTACAAAAACTTAAAGGAACAATGTGATGCTCAAAGAAGCTTACAGTCTAGACTCTAGAGCAGGGCCGCCATCAGAAATTTTGGGGCCCCTAACACTGCTCAAGGTCTGGGCCCCCAGGGGCCCGCCTCCAAGCCCGTCTCCAAATCTTGCCCACAGAAATACACACACACAGACACAAACACACGCATTGATATAAAAAGGACACAGATACACACACACACACACACATACATACTAAATGACACACATACTGAAACAAACATACACACATACAGACACACAGACATACATAGTGACACACAGACAAATACTAACATATATACAGACACACACACATAAGGAATATAATACACACATGCATACACATACAGACAGATAGATACATATCAATACAAATACATACATACAATGCTAATTTTTCTTACCTTTTCTTTGCAGGAGGGTGGCTGGGGCTTATGGGAGTCGGGTGGCTCTCCCGTCCTCGTGGCCTGTCTCTTTCCCCTCCCGGGCTGAGGGAGCTGGAAGGAAGTGACCGGACGTCACTTCTTCACAGCATTTCTTGCGGCTGACATTTTTAAAGGGGCCGGTCTCGCTATTACACGGCCAACGCGCTGACCAGGCCCCTGAAGATATAGGGCCTGTCGGGTGGCCCTAAATGCTTGGGCCAAACAGTGGCCCTATTAGTGTGCGGGCCCCAGTGCAGCTGTACCGTCTTGGTTGTCACCCCCTGATGGCGGCCCTGGTCTAGAGTATTACTAACATTATAGTGGACTGTTAAAACTGTATGTGCCCCCGATTTACCCTCACAGTGCTGGTCTCCGCACTGCCATCCCACCTCCATAGGAACGCATTTTGAGTCTATTTTGCATGAGCAGCAAAACACCACGCTGTGCCAGTCAGATGGTCTTTGTGATAGCCAAGGTCGACTCAGATATATGGACGGAGGAGCTAAAGTGACAGCACCTAGAGGCATTTAAACCCCCCAGATCTGCATTATTTTAAATTGCAGGGTTAAAACGACAGGGGCATGACACCCAATCTCAATGAAGTGGTCCCTTTAATACTACAGACATTTTAGACAATTGGGTGCTTATCACTTAGTGGCAACATTTTGGGAATTGAATAATCCCCTCCTTCCCCTGTTTTTTATTTTGCATACAGTTCCTCTGTTCTATGACCCTTGATAATATTACTCTCATGTTATATATCTAACAATGATTTTCATGTTTTTCATATTTTGTCATGCTATTTATTGTCTACAGTATACCTGTCTGCTTATTTTGTTTATTTAACAGCTGGAAAATCAATAAACTGAAGACTAACAGTTAAACATATGTTGGTATATATGCCAGTTCAGTGGATGATGATTTCTGAGCACTTGAGGCCATTTGGTCAGCAAGGTTAGTGTTCCGCTTCCAATATGAAGTTTTGTTTTCTCACATGAGAGAAAAACCTTTTTTTTTTTTTTTTTAAATACAAACAAATACAGTTTTAGAACAAAAAAGTTACTTGTGCATTATTTAAAATCCCTATGCACATTTAAATAACTGGAGGTTTTTCAGTATCACTCCAATGGCCATTTAAGTGTGCGCTCACCTGCAACGCCAAGGCAAAACCTATTAGGTGAGTCCTACACTAACAATTAACCTTGCTGCTATATTTTTGGGGATAGTAAACAGGCAACTTTTTTTTTAGTTATTATTCAATGTGTTTAGGCTATGTACTATATCATTGCTGCCACCCAGGAGTAGTGGGAGTTTAAGCACAGGTGTAATTTTGTGTATTTATAGTTTTAGCGGATAGATAGACAGACAAACATACCCAAGCAGAATATGATCAGATAATAAAACCGTTTTTTTATAATTGTCGTTATGGAGTTTTTGTTCATTGTTCCTCTTTGTAATAGGTTATTGAATTACTACAGTGTTAAAATGATGTGCATTATCATTAACAAAAATTGGTACTGCTACATTTGTCTAATCAGTTTAACTTATCCACAAAATGCTGCTTAGTTACAGCACTGACTATCAGTTGCTTTCCATTAGAATTGAGGTAATTAAAGTCAAGGATGTCGATCTCTGCAACACACATAGTGTATTTTAAATTATACTTCTCCTTATGTTATGTAAGAGCTAAAGAAAGACTCACATAGTACCCTCTAGTGGCTAGAAGCTTAAATTAAATATGTAAAATAAAACACAACAATCTAGAAGACATACCCCTGGAGAAAATATGCATGTTATTGGTTTTGCATAGCTTCTTTGGGGGGTATATGAAATCTTGGCTTGCAATAACTACAGATTTAGTATTTGCAGCTACTGCAAGCCCTCCCCATCTTCTCGCGGCATCTCGGCATGTATGTTCTGTGGCTGTCCAATCACAGCCTGAGCTGTATTACAATTCATTGGGAAGTATTTGCAAGACTGGTGCTATGGGCAATTTCTGCCTATATGTTTATCTCTACTGAATAACAAGACTGGTAGTTTGATTGGCAACCAGGGGGTGTAACAAGTCTAATGATATAAAATGACACACTATTCACAAATACATCTCTTCAGCGGGTTAAGGTGTTTTAAGTGTTTGGAGTGTTTCTTTAAAGGGAAGCTCTATATCCAAAAATGAATATTACTATTTAAGGCATACAGTTCACATAAACTAAGCCATAAAAAAACTCTCATTTGCTGCAGAACAAGTCTTTGTGGCTAACGATCATCCACTACCATTTGCCCTTCCTTGTTAGTCCTAGGCATTGTCAATCAAATCTTTTTCATGGGCATAGAGGACAAATATTCAGTACAAATCTGCTCATGGAAATGGGTGGCTTTATTGTGATTTAGGGATTTGTATAAAAAAAATAATCATATTTTAAGGCTAGTAAGTTCAAGCTCAGTTTTAAGGAATAATTTTTATGTGGCCCTTAATATGGCAACTTACTTTATAAAGTACGTGTGGACTACCACTGGATGATACTGATGGGAATTATGTTTTTAGCAAGAAGTCTCTCTACCCCTTTACAAGAAATGTATATTTTAATTCCTACCAGCCACAGACAGAATCTTGCTGAACATGAAAGAGTTACAGTCCAGCATGTGGACACAATTTGATGTGACAACAGAGTTGCTTATGCTTTTTTCACTCTGATCTCTGCACTTTGAAAGGACAGAGGTCAAAACCTAGAACCAATTTGTGTTTTTCTTTTTCAAAGTGAGAGTAAATTGCCTGAGAGTTAGGCAGCAGGGGATTTTACAATCATAGCTATACAATAAAGTGAGACTAACTGTGAATTCCAAATGAATTCTAAATTTTAGACTAAATTGCAGAACTGGAAACATTTTTATTTATTTATTTTGTCTTAAATTTCAAATTTATGTTGGATTCCCAGCATGCTGTGTGTGCTGATAGCAGACATAAAGTTGTTGAAAACTGATGTTACCAACCCAAAGGAGGGTATTACAGCAGGATGACTGACAGATCAAGTAGGTGTTTCTGCATACACTAAAAAAGTAGAAATCTTCAGAATAAAACATTTAAATGCAAAGCTGCAGGAATGGAGTCAGTTGGCTATGGTGCTTAGAATTACCTTTTAAGTGTAACAATACAATTCTTATTCTATAAAGGGGAAATTCCTAAATTAGCCTTTTTTTATATAACATTACGATCAAAAATAAAAACGTTTTATTCAGATGATTTATATGACAGAAATCTTTCAGAATATTTTATTAGTCAGAATATGTTTCTGCTTGCTCACCATATAAGTGCATTTCAGTTTTTCATTATATTTGATTTGCATTATTAGTTATCATGTCTACCAAATGCACAATAGTGGCCTGCACTGCCCTATATGGTTCAGATGGGTGATTTTAGCCAGACCACCGCACTTACTGGAATCTCCTTCCCCAAACAAAGGCATATTGGTCTTTACAAATACTAATAGGCAAGGTGTTTGTAGTTCTTTTTTGCCCCACCTATTATATATATGATAAAAATGAAATTGGTCAAAATGTTAGCATTTCCAAAAAAAGTCAGAAACATTGCAAGACACAGAATACAATATTACCTCTAATATTTTTACCAGCCAAATAATTCTGTAAAGCTTAAAAAATTTTTTTTCCAGTTTATTGGCAACATTTATCTGATTTGTTCTAAAGATATACTCATAATTGTTTCTATGCAATGCAGGCCTACATTCCAAATAAATTGATTGTTTTTAATGGGTTATATATAAAGAACAGTACTTGACAAGTTCTAAACGTCAAGCAGACAGGCTGTACATTTTACTGATTTTAGTATCAACTGCATCACTTTCAGAACTTTTTCTGTTAGTCCCTATATAGAATATTGTGTACTGTGCAGCAGATCTTAGAGTCTCAAGAGAAAACTAAGACACCATACAAATTGCACTGTTCTATATATTTTGTTGTGCATGACAATATCAGCTTGATTTATAGCTAACTACAAGTCCTGCTTCAGCAAGGTATGCCTGAGGAGCTGAGAGCACAGAATTGTGCAGGCACAGTACAGTAGCCTTGAGATTTCTAAAGCCTCAGGGACAAAGTGACTTGCCAAAGACATCATGGAAGTTGACATAGTTATAAAGTCGCTGGAGGGGAGAAAAAAAACAAGACAGAACTACTCACTCAGCATAATAAAGAGAACACTGACACATCTGTTTGGAACACTCACATGCATTATTTCTCCTATTTACTGCACTTACCAGTCCAGCAAGAACATTCTTACTTTCCTCATCAGTGCAGCGATCTGAGAACACGCTTCTGTGAACATACATAAAAGTATTCACGAAAATCCAGCAAGAGACCCAGAAGAGCAGGAAAAATATAGTATTCCTCCAGAAAAGCTTTAACCTGAGCCACTTGAAAGAGAATACTCTCATGGTAAGAAAAAAGCCAGAGTGAGCTTCGCATCTTCTAGTTTAAAGACATCAAAGAACCATGACTCCTATGCTAAGTCCTCAGAACTGATCCATGAGAGAGTCTTCTAAAGGACCTGGAGAAGGAAAGTGGGCTCTATAACCTGCATCACACAGACCCCCTAAACAGGTGGGTGTGGGTAGCACTGCTTCAGTATGTACAGAGCATCTCCCGGCAGATGAGAGTCTTTCTTCCTGCTAGACTTGTTAAAGCATCTTTTTTTTTATTTTTATTTCCTTCTGAGAAAGTGCTGGTGCTTTATAAAAAAAAAAAAAAAATCTGAGATCCTTTGAATTGAAGCCACGTAGTTCCGCCTTCTTTTGTGTGCTGTCTCCTGTGTCAACCAGCGTTTCCACTTACCAAGTAGCTTGTAACTAGGCTCACACAGGAGAATAAAACGGTTTGTCTGAGCTGGCTTTTACAAAGCTCTTTTTTTTTCTGTGGAGATGGCCGCCTGCCTGAGCTGTCAGATAGATTGATAGCACTGACAGTCTGACAAGGAACTGTTCGGGAGCCACAAGCTCACCACAACATTGTCATTACAAAATTTTACAAACACTGTTAAACATGATCACATGCCCCCCCCTTCCCCCCTTATTATTGAAAACAACAGTTTTGCTTCTCCTGTTTACCAGCTGAGTGCCGTTGGCTGGTAAAGAGAGAGCAATATATGTGTTGGCTCACTGTTCATAAATATATATATATGTATTTGGTAAAATGTCAGCTGGCATGAAAGCAGAATTTTCTACTTTCTTTAATTATATATTTCAACTCTTTAGTGTTAATTGGAGAGTGATTAGCCCACAGAAGCTATATTTTACATAAAGTCTATGCTAATGTGTGAAAAGTATGTATTTGTGTGAAAATTAGATTGCCTACATATCAATCTGCACTAGGAAGGAATGATATGCCTGTGCCAATAAATGTCTTGGAAGCTGAAGTAGTGAAAAAAAATGTATACATTAATTATCCACTTAACTCATTCCTTACTGCTGCCAAAGGTATGCTGCAGAGGAATGCAGACTTGAAAGGCTTTACACCAGCTTGCTGCATATCCTTCATGTATCCAATTACAAGTGCTGTATTAATTGTTCTGTTACAAAATATCAATATCTCTTGATTTATAAACTCCTTCAGGATTGGCTGCATAGAGAATTGTGAGGTTTGTTGCTTTTTATTATTATTATTATTATTGGCATTTATATAGCGCAAACAAATTCCGTAGCGCTTTACAATATTATAGGAGGGGGGGATTTAACAATAAATTAGACAATTACAAAAACTTACATGAACAATAGGATGAGAAGGACCCTGCTCAAACAAGCCTACAGTCTTTTTTTTTTTTTTGGTTGTCATATAATTGCATAATTTCTAAGACTCTAGAACATGGGTCAGCAACTGTTCACACATGCACGTGTGCCATGCATGGCACTTGGGGTGCCTTTGCACTGCACTCAAGGCTGCCAGAGATAAACAGGCTCAGGCCTATCGGGAGTCCCAGTGGAACTTCAGATAATCTGCTAGTACAACCCAAGCAGTGATTGCAGGTGGTGAAGGACAATACTCACGTTACACATTGCAGCACTTACAGGAATTGAGCTCAGATCACTTCCTCCCAGCACTTGATAACTGGAATCTGCACTGGAGTCAGTGGTGTATTTTAGTTTTGCGCTGCTCTAGGCATGACTAAACCTGGGCACCCCCCTAATCTAAATTTGACCCACCCCTTCCTGTCAAGGCCGCACCTCTTCCTCTTTATACTACACTTTTTCCTACTACTTTTAAAGGGAACCTATAGTGCCAGGGAAACAAAGCTGTTTTCCTGGCACTATAGTTCCCCCCTTGGCACTGAAGGGGTTAAAACCCCTTAGGTCACTTACCTGAATCCAGCGCCGATGTCCCTCGGCGCTTGGTCAAGCTCCTCCTCTGCGCTTGCATTAGGCTTCCCTATAGGAAAGCATTGTATCAATTCTTTTCTATGGGGATTTAGCAGACGCCTGATGTCCTCATGAACAGCGTGAGGACATCCAGCATCAGTTAGGCGACTTTTGGTCAGGGTTAAAGAGATTGAGACACTGCAACAAGACCATTTCACTAAGCTGAAGTGGTCTGGGCTCCTATAGTGTCCCTTTAAGCACACACTCTCACGCAGACATTCACAGACACACACACACTCACAGACATACACACACTCACAGATACTCACAGACAAACACACTCACAGACACACACACACACTCACAACGTAATAATGTAATTCAATTTTTACCACCCAGCCCCCCTACCTGGAGAGCTGACGTGGATCCGTCCCTGCGGTCCAGTGGGGCTGCTATGAGGCGGGCGGCTTCCCATCCGAGGCGGCGAGGGAGCTGTGATCTTTCTGCTCTGCTTTGCCGGAGGAAGGAAGATGGAGAAAGAAGGGGAAGGTGTCTCTATAAGCTGGCCAGCAGGTCAGCTCTTGCCCCTCCCCCCACATGACAGGGAAATTACAGGCACGCCTCAGTGGGCATTTGGGGGCGGCATTTTTTGCCGCTCCCTAAATAGTGCCCACCAAGGCAAATGCTTAGTTTGCATTGGGCTAAATACACCCCTGACTGGAGTAGAGCAGCGCGCTTCTGCCCTTGACCTGTACCTGGCCACCCTGGTCCCCATTGGATCCCAGGGAAGCAACCCAAACTGCTAGATAAATACAGAGCTGCAGAATAAGCCTTCCTCTCATAGCAAGAGTATGAACAGCCCACACACACACCATCCCTACAAACATAACACCACTGGCATTCCACATACATGCACACAACCCCACAAGCAGCCTCCCACATGCAATATGACAAGAAGCCCCACACAAACACCACCAAACACAATCTGACATATCCACACACACAATTCCATAAGCAGCCTCCATACACAGTCCACATTCTTGGGTATCATACACAATATCACAACTATTCATGAACATATACAATATAACAGCCTACATACGCAAAAATACAATGTTACAAAGCAACTGCAGCACCCATATATAACACAAGTACAAAAGGCACAATACACACCTCAAGTTAAAAAAAATAGGACCGGCACGCCAATGGACTTCAAGATATTGTTTTGACACTGTACTACTAAAAGGTTACCTAACCCTGCTTTAGAAGGTGGGTATATTCAGCTCAATTCTGTTATGCTTTAACCCCTTAAATCCGGAGGACGTACTATTACGCCCTTGAGGAACGATGACGGTCCTGAACCGTCATAGCGTTATTATTTACTTACCTGATTCCCACGGTGGCGATCAGCGTTGCTCCAGGTGTGGGGAGACTGCCTGACAGCCCAGGCAGTCTCCCCTCGGCGAATTAGGACCCCGCGGCTATGTGAAACCTCTAACAGAGTGGTCACATGGCCGCAATAGGTGTCCAAGTATCTGCCTGCAGGGGGACTACCTGAACTGACAGGCAGTCTCCCTGCATGTGTAAAATAAAATAAAAAAATAGTTAATGAATAAAAATATAATTTATATATGTGTGTGTGTGTATATATATATATATATGATATACAGACATATATTATACTTATATAATATATGTCTATATATCTTATATATATATAATTTCATATTGAAATAAATATATATTAATATAAAAATACACTTATAATTAAATTACACAGGTATATATATAATATATAATAACTATATATATAATATATATATATATATTATTATTATAAAAAACAAATAATAAGTAAATTAAAATAAATTCAAAAATAATGAAAAAAATAAAATTATATATACATATGAAATTTTATTCTAACTGTATTTTGATATTAATATATATATATATTTATATCAAAATACACTGAGAATGAAATTATATATACATCTATGTATATGTTACCGCTAAAGTGAGAAATCTGTTTATGTGCACATTACCTAGTTAATCTGCAGATTAACTGATTTGCTCCGTTAATGTGCGGAATCAATAGTTTGCGCACTTTACCTAGGTAATGTGCACATTAACGGCTTCCGTATCATTAAAATGGAAAATGTTTGTTTCTTTCCCTCGGTAAAGAGGAATTATTTATTACAAAACATCCTTGCAGAACCTGTCTCACCCTTTCAGTGCAGTCTCTGCAGAGTCGTTCATTTCTTGTCTGAAGGCAGAAAGATTCTTTTGTGAGCAAGTTCCTTTCAAAAGCCCTCCACCATCAAATTCTCAAAGCATAGACACATGGCTTGTTGCTTCTCAGAAGGGGCTGGTTACTAACAATGCTGCTCCGTAAGTCCGAGAAATACTTCTCATTGAGGAGAATGAGACCAAGGAGAGGTCTGCTCATGGACCACTGATTCCGACAGTCATCAGATATATGATGATATTGAGAACAGTGGAGAGCATCTGCTGGGATAATTTCAGGGTGTTGCTGCATAATGCGCAGGAAGCCCTGCTCTCTTGTGGTGGTGGGGCTCCTCGTTTCTTACCAGTTCGGGATAACTGTTTGAAGAAGTATGTGACTGTGTGGTCCAGACAAGAACAGAACAGCAGCCTGTGCACACCATGGTGTCCTCCAGAGCTGTGAGCCCCTTAGAGAGATGGAGGACAGAATGATTTTTTGCACTTTAACAAGTGCCTAGTAGGTAATGTGCAGATTATTTGAGAAACGAAAAATTTTCGTCACTTTAACGTCAGATTAACTAGGTAATGTGCACATTAACTGATTTCTGCACTTTAATGGTAACATGTATATAAATAAATCAAAATAATGCTACATATATATCCATATACAAAATTACATAAATAATTTCATAAATATACACGTAGACTTCAAATATATAAATATGTATAAATTTAAATTCTACATGCGTATTTATGTAATATTTTTACATAATTAAGTAATTTTACTGATTGCAAGTTGAGGGACCTGCCTGACAACCCAGGCCGAAAGAATTTAATTTGCTAGCACCGTATTTAACCCTGTAACTTTCTATGACACCCTAAAACCTGCACATGGGGGTACTGTTTTATTTGGGAGACTTTGCTGAACACAAATATTAGTGTTTCAAAACAGTAAAACATATCACAGCGATGATATTGTCAGCGAAAGTGACGTGTTTTGCATTTTTCACACACAAATGGCCCTTTCACTGATTATGTAATTGTTTTGATACGTTTTACTGTTTTGAAACACTAATATTTGTGTTCAGCAAAGTCTCCAGAGTATAACAGTGCCCCCCCATGTACAGGTTTTATGGTGTTTTTCAAAGTTACAGGGTCAAATATAAGGGTCAAATCTTTTTACATTGAAAATTGCCAGGTTGGTTATGTTGGCTTTGAGTGTATGGTAGCCCAGGAATTAAAATTACTCCCATGATGGCATACCATTTGCAAATGACGACAACCCAAGGTATTGCAAATGGGGTATGTTCAGTCTTTTTTAGTAGCCACTTAGTCAAAAACACTGGCCAAAGTTAGCGTTCATAATAGTT